AGTCTTACAGAAGTGGTGGGGTTTGGGTTTGGAATGTGCCAGCACCGGCAGATTTGCATTGTGAGGGGTTTTATTTTGAAACAGAGCACCCTGGATCACTGCAAACCCGGAGCAGCATGCTCAGGGTTGTACACAGAGATTCCTGAGTCTGTCCTTGGCTGAAACGTTCCCTGGGTCGTTCAAGAACTTCAGTGATTCCAAACTGGTTTTTTTTGTCTCCTCAGTGATTTCACCAAGCTGTGCTGGGTTGAGTTCCCCCTCTAAAACCTCCTTCTCTCCTCAGATCCGTCGAGTCTCTTTTGCAAACCCCATTTTTCAGGAGGGCCTGGCAGACGACATCGACAGGAGGAGCCCTGTCGTCAGATCCCATTCCTCACCCTCCTCCAGAAGCCTTAAAATCCTCTCTAACATGCAGGTCAGGGGAAATCCTGGTACAGTGTTCTGTGTGTCCCGAGTATTTGTGTGTTTATCATAAATAGCATGGCTTAGTGCATGTTTGTAGTCACTTACACACAGTTGTAAGGGCTGAGGATCAGAAGTGTAAGAAACAAAACTGCTTTAGCCTGACTCATTCTGTTACTCTGAACTCCAGTGAACTCTGAGGTTTCAGGGGCTAAAATCTCACTATTAACTGAGTTCCTGCTGTTAACTGAATTCCTACCATTGACTAAATTCCTACCACCCTGAGATATTTTTTCCTCTTTTTCTATCCAGCACATTACCACTCCAACCAAAGGATTTCTGTCCCCAGGATCTCGTACCCTTAAATTTAAGAGCTCAAAGAAGTGTTTAGTAAGAAGTGCTTTGGTTCATGTTTCTCTATTTTTTTTCCCTGTATTCAGTGTGTGACAGTTAATTTAATACTTTTTCCTGTGTTATCCCAGATCACAGAGATGGCCAAGGAGTCTCTGCCGTGCCTTTCGGAGTTGGTGTACCCTGCCTTGGCTGGCTGCAAAGCCCCTGTGGATGTCATTTTACCTCAGATCACATCCAACATCTGGTCAGTGGCCTCTTGCTTTTGGAGGTGACATTTCAGCTCTTATGAACCTACCAAACCACAGTTTTAGCCAGGATTCTTTAAAGGGACTGGGGTTGGTTGGGTGGAAGAGACTTGACTATTTTGGCATTCTTGAAGTACTTGTTTGATGACTGAAAAGTTCCCCAGGGATGGGGAGTTTGTGCAGGGCCAGGAGTTGGATTGGTGATCCTGTGGGTCCCTTCCAGCTCAGGATATTCCCTGATTGTGTACCAACAACCCATTTTCCCTCCCCTGCTGCAGTGCCAGGGGCCTGGGGCAGCTCATCCGAGCCAAGAACATCAAGACCGTGGGAGACCTGAGCACTCTGACAGCTCTGGAGATCAAAACTCTCCCCATCCGCTCCCCCAAAGTCTCCAATGTCAAAAGGGCTCTGAAAGGATACCATGAGCAACAGGTAAAGTTGAATTTTAGCACCCAGGAAGCCACTGTTGATCTCATTTACTGCAGCAGGAATGATGTGATTGATTGTATAATGAATGATTATTTCCTTCATTAAAAACAGCACTTTGAAACCTGATCCCTGCCTGCCTCAGTACCATGAATTCAAGATACAGATGACTTGGTTAAACTATTGTTATTAACAGGAAAAATTATTGGATTTATTATGAGGCTAATATATATGTCACCACATAATTGAATTTTTTTTTTTTTTCAATCTGAAAATGTTTTCTCTCCCCAAAATTGCCCAGGTGAAATCTCGAGTGTTGGAGGAAAGCACAGCTCTTGAAGATGCAGAGAAGCCTGGGAATGATGTGGAGGAGAAATCTCTGAGTGGAGATGAGGAAAAACTTGCAGCAGGTACCTGCTGGTGGCTTTTTGCTTTGGATTTGGAGGGTTCTGCTGTCCTGTCTTCATTCTCTCCTGGTGGGAACACCTCATCCTTTTGTTTTTATTTTGGGTTTAGTTTTATTCTTCCAATCGTGATCAAGCCCTGAGGACGGGCAGGGTGCAGTGCCTTTGCTGGGAATGTTTCCCACGGAATAAATCCATTGCAGGCTGCTCAGAGATGTGATTTTGCACAAAACCAGCTGGAACTCTGCTCGGATTTTCCTGCACTTGTCTCCTTTCAGATCTGGCGGACACGGGCAGCAGCAGCAGCAGCAGCGAGCAGCCCTCCGTGGATCTCGTGGGGCAGATCCAGGCTCTGGCAGCCCAGCTGAGCTCCGAGGATCTGCACGGCTACTCTGGCAGGCAGCTGCTGGAGATGCAGGAGAAGCTGCTGGGGATGGCCTCGAGCGTCACCAGGAGCCTGCGGGCGCGCTGGCCCTGCCCTCCCCTCCAGGGCCCCGAGTAGCGCCGCTCCTTTGCCTTCCTGCCCCTCCTTCCCTCTGCATCTTGGCCTATAGGATGCTTTTTAATAGCTTCATAAGGGGTTTTTTCTCCTTTTTTTCCCCCTTTGTTTTTCTTTTTTTTTTCCTTTTTTTTCCTTTTTTTCCCCCTTTTTTTTTCGTTTTTTTTTTCCTTTTTTTTTCCTTTTCTTTTCCTTTTCTTTTCCTTTTCTTTTCCTTTTCTTTTCCTTTTCTTTTCCTTTTCTTTTCCTTTTCTTTTCCTTTTCTTTTCCTTTTCTTTTCCTTTTCTTTTCCTTTTCTTTTCCTTTTCTTTTCCTTTTCTTTTCCTTTTCTTTTCCTTTTCTTTTCCTTTTCTTTTCCTTTTCTTTTCCTTTTCTTTTCCTTTTCTTTTCCTTTTCTTTTCCTTTTCTTTTCCTTTTCTTTTCCTTTTCTTTTTTCCCCTTTTTTTTCTTTTTTTCCCAGTTTTTCCCCTTTGTTTTCCTCCTTTCCTCCTCCTTTCCTCCTCCTTTCCTCCTCCTCTCCTCCTCCTCTCCTCCTCCTCCCTTCCTCCTCCCTTCCTCCTCCCTTCCTCCTCCCTTCCTCCTCCCTTCCTCCTCCTTTCCTCCTCATTTTTCTTTTTTTCTTTTTTTCCTTCTTTTTCACTTTGCCTTTTTTCTTGCCTTTTTTTTCCACCCCCTTTTTTTTTTTCCTTTTTTTTTTTCCCTTTATTTTTTGCTGGTTCCCCCCCCCTCCCAAATCTGTGGGACTGTTTCCTCCCTGGCAGAGGTGTTCCTTTGGGATTGCTATGCATCTTTCTTTCGGGCCGTGAAAGAAAACCTGACAAAGCTGTGCAATAGCAGAGACTGTGAAAAAACCAAACCAACAGAGTAATTAAATTATTTTTTCAAACCCAAAGTGTTCTTACTGCTGCAAACTCCTGCTGAGAGTGGGCTGAGAGCTGCAGCTGCCAGCTCTGCCCCAGCTGCTCCCTCTGGAGCTCCGGTGTGAGGTGAGCTGGCTTCATTCCTTCCAGCAGGAGCCTGGGATTTGTACTGGATCTATTTTTCCATGTATTTTTGTACGACTCAAGCTCAGAGGAAATGTGCTTGTCCGGGAGAGAGACTCTGCAAAGCCTCCCAGGCTTTGCCCCGTGGCCTTTGCTGGCAGCAGTTCTCCTTGTGGGAAGACTTTTTTTTCCGTGAGGAAATGATGGATTGGACAAGAGCTCTTTGTATATTGTGTACAGACTCACAGCGGATGTTGGGTAATAATTTATGGAGTTTTAATTGCATGGACTGCATTGCTGCTTCTTGGAGACCTTCAGCCAGAATTCCCAGGTTTTCCCTCTGGAATTCTGATCTGTATATATTGTACTGTAGCTATCCAGATGGGTGCTTATTGAAAGGAACTGCTGCAGGTGGTTTTCCAACTTTTACATGGGCAAATAAAAGAGCTGATAGTTCCCAGACTTGGTCTTGTCCTCGTGGTTTGGTGGCTTCTGGGCTCTTTCTCTCTTCAGCTTCCCTCAGATTTGGATTCCCGAGGCTGGGAGGGACCTTGGAATGTCACCAGTGCTGGTGTAAGGCAGGAGCAGGTTCTCAAGGACAGGGTGGGATCTGGTCTGCAAAACTCTTGAATATTTTTTGCCCTGTGTGTGTCTCATGGAGAAAAGGGACAGGACAAACAGCCTGGAGCTACAAGGGGAAGTTCTGTGCCTTTTCTTGCCTTTCTCAGCAGTTGTTTTGGTTCCAGATCTGCCTCCTTAGGAGAGTTCAGCTTTCCATCCCACGCCCTGGGCAGGTAAGGATGTTCCTGACACATGGAAAGGGTTTTGATCCCAGCTCCCAGTGCTGCCAGTCCTGGACCCTGCCTTGGGGAAGGACATTTCCCTTCCAGGCTGCCTCTGCTGGGAATTCCCTCTGGACTCTGAATTCCTCAAGGGTGATGCTACAACCCCTGCTGTTAGCTTGGATTTATTCTATGGGAGACACAATATCCAGGGATTTTCATTCCCTTCTTTCCTGTGGAGTGGCTGCTGCCAGGTGCTGCAGTAGATGAAGCAAAAACTGATGTTCAGGTGTGGAATAACCCCAGATCTGGGTCCTCCCTCAGTACAGTTTGTGGGGTGAATTCCCTTTTCCAGCACCACAGCATCCATCCATCCATACTGCAGAAACCTCAGCTTTATTCATCACTAATTTACAAGAAATCACAGCTTTTGCCCCCAGAACAGTTGCAGGAGAACACATTCACGAGAGCTCAGCAAGCAGGAGAGGGGTGGTTGCTTTTCCCTCCCCAAATAAATTGGGTTGAAATACAAAGCTTAAATGGAAAAGGAAATTAGGGGATTGAAACGTTTTAGAACAGCCCAGAAAACTTCTCTTTGTGGGAGAATGAATCCTGTAATGTGTGTGTTAGTCTTTGGCAATGGAATTTTGGAGATGTTGTGTCTGTGTGTGATGAAATATTTGACATTCCAGACAGCAATTTGGGAGTGTTTGGCACTGGGAGAAAGGCAGGGTGTGCTCAGAGGTACTTTTGCAAACGTTGTGTGAAATATTCCCGGTGTGTTTTGCTCTGCAGTTATTTCTGTGGTGGCTGAGGGGGGAAGGTGTCCCATCCCTGGGGAAGGTGTCCCATCCCTGGAGAAGGTGTCCCAGCCCCGGGGAAGGTGTCCCAGCCCTGACGAAGGTGTCCCATCTCCAGGGGAGCTGTCCCATCCCCGGGGGTGGTGTCCCATCCCTGGAGAAGGTGTCCCAGCCCTGGGGAAGGTGTCCCATCCCCGGGGAAGGTGTCCCATCCCCGGGGAAGGTGTCCCATCCCCGGGGAAGGTGTCCCATCCCCGGGGAAGGTGTCCCATCCCCGGGGAAGGTGTCCCATCCCCGGGGAAGGTGTCCCATCCCCGGGGAAGGTGTCCCATCCCCGGGGAAGGTGTCCCATCCCCGGGGAAGGTGTCCCATCTCCAGGGAAGGTGTCCCATCCCTGGGGAAGGTGTCCCATCTCCAGGGGAGGTGTCCCATCCCAGGGGAGCTGTCCCAGCCCCAGGGAGCTGTCCCAGCCCGGGGCAGGCTGGGCTCACACGGCCTCCACATAGTTGGCGGGCAGCATGCCGGTCTTGCCGGTTCTCTGCACGGTGCCATACATCCAGCCCTCGTCGATGGCCTGCACGTTGACAATGGTGTCCCCGTCCTTGAAGGACACCTCGTCCGCGTCCGCCGCCGTGTAGTCGTACATGGCCCGGAACGTCTTCTGCAGGGACACAAGGGACGTGGTCAGAGCCTTACAGGGGACATGGTCACGCCCTGACATGGCCTGGAATGTCTTCTGAAGGGACACAAGGGACAGGGTCACGCCCTGACGTGGCCTGGAATGTCTTCTGAAGGGACACAAGGGACAGGGTCACACCCTAACATGGCCTGGAACGTCTTCTGAAGGGACACAAGGGACATGGTCACGCCCTGACATGGCCTGGAATGTCTTCTGAAGGGACACAAGGGACAGGGTCACACCCTAACATGGCCTGGAACGTCTTCTGAAGGGACACAAGGGACATGGTCACGCCCTGACATGGCCTGGAATGTCTTCTGAAGGGACACAAGGGACAGGGTCACACCCTAACATGGCCTGGAACGTCTTCTGAAGGGACACAAGGGACATGGTCACGCCCTGACGTGGCTCAAAACCTCTTCTGAAGGGACACAAGGGACAGGGTCGCACCCTGACGTGGCTCAGAACCTCTTCTGAAGGGACACAAGGGACAGAAGGGACATGGTCACACCCTAACATGGCCTGGAACGTCTTCTGCAGGGCCATGGAACAAAAAGGGACATGGTGATATCCTGACATGGGACAGAAGGGATGTAGTCACACCCTGACATGGCCTGGAACATCTGCAGGGACACAGGACAGAAGGGACATGGCCAAACCCTTACAGGGGACAGAAGGGACATGGTCACACTCTGACATGGCCCAGACCCTTGACAGAAGGGACAGAAGGGACATGGTCAGAGCCTTACAGGGAGTGGAAGGTCTTCAGGGACACCAAGGGACATGGTCAAACCCCAGGGGCTGGAATTGGTGTCATGGCAGGGTCTGGCTGCTCCTTCAGATCCGGCTGTGGATTCTTCTCCCTTCCTGAGCCCCTTGGGTCCCCGAGTGCCACAGCCCCGGGGTGTGCTGGTGACACTGAGCCTGAGCAAGGTCAAGTGTCACTTTGAAGTTGTTGCCTCCCAGCAGTTTTTGGAGGCACATTCCCGCTGTCCTTTACTCCAGAGGCAATCTCTGAATGAGCACTTCCTCCCACTCCTCAGTTTTCAAGGATTGAGTAGGAAGAAGAGTTCATTCCAGGTTTCCAGGTGCTAATTCCAAGTTTCCAAATGCTCATTCCAGGTTTCCAGGTGCTAATTCCAAGTTTCCAAATGCTCATTCCAGGTTTCCAAATGCTCATTCCAGGTTTCCAGGTGCTAATTCCAAGTTTCCAAATGCTCATTCCAGGTTTCCAAATGCTCATTCCAGGTTTCCAAATGCTCATTCCAGGTTTCCAGGTGCTCATTCCAGGTTTCCAGGTGCTAATTCCAAATTTCCAAGCACAGGGAAGGCTCTGTCCCACTTAAGTCCCTGTCACACCTGGTTTCATACAGAGCTTCAGCCCCACAGACTGGAATGTCACCAACTCAGTCTTGGATTAACTCTATGAATTAGTGTTAATTAATTATTAATTAGTGGCTGTGACCCCTGCAGGTCCCCCAGGGTTACTCACCCCAGCAGTGGAAGGGTGGGAAGGCACCGAGGACACCGTGGTTTGCTGCGTGGCCACCGAGGACGAGCGTTGCTGTGGCAACTCAATGGTCTTGACCTGCTTGTAGCCCACTGCAAGAGAGGGTGGGGTTATTATGGGATGGAGAAAGATCATTGTTATTATGGGATTGTGATGGAGCTGATCTGGAGAAGGATCATTGTGTGGGGGTTATTTATTATGGGATTGTGATGGAGCTGATCTGGAGAAGGATCATTGTGTGGGGTTGTTATGGGATTGTGGTGGAGCTGGTCTGGATAAAGATCATTGTGTGGGGTTATTATGGGGTTGTGATGGTGCTGGTTGGGATGAAGATCAGGGACAGGCCACTGGGACAGGTCAAAATCAGTTTAAAATGCACATTAACAGCTGTTGCTTGTGCACAAGTCAGCATTTGGAGACGTGTTTTTCCCTGGCTGTGGGGATTGCTGCACACACTCCCATGGGAGCCCGTCTGTCCCCACTGTGGGGTGTGGCTGTACCTGTGGCCGTGGTGGTGAAGAAGCCCCCGTTGCTGTAGTAGGACAGGCGCTGGTCGGTGCCGTCCGAGGGCTCGGATTTCTCGTCGGCCGCGCCGCTGATGCTCAGGGCGCTGGCGGAGCGCGAGTGCTCCCGGCTGCGGCGCTGCGCCTGGACTGGGGGCAGCAGGGATGTCACCACCCCGGGGCTCAGAGCCACCACCCCGGGGCTCAGAGCCACCAACCCCAGGGCTCAGAGCCACCAGCCCTGGGGTGCTCAGAGCCACCAGCCCCGGGGCTCAGAGTCACCAGCCCCGGGGCTCAGAGCCACCAACCCCAGGGCTCAGAGCCACCAACCCCAGGGCTCAGAGCCACCAGCCCTGGGGCTCAGAGCCACCAGCCCTGGGGCTCTCAGAGTCACCAGCCCCAGGGCTCAGAGCCACCAGCCCTGGGGCGCTCAGAGCCACCAACCCTGGGGTGCTAAGAGCCACCAGCCCTGGGGCGCTCAGAGTCACCAGCTCCAGGGCTCAGAGCCACCAGTCCTGGGACTCTCAGAGCCACCACCCCTGGAGCTCTCAGTCACCACTCCTGGGTCTCTCAGAGCCACCACCCCTGGGGCTCTCAGAGCCACCAGTCCCCAGGCTCTCACTCTCAGAGCCACCACCCTGGGGCTCTCAGTGTCACCAGTCCCCAGGCTCTCAGAGTTACCAACCCTAGAGCTCAGACCTCACAGAACCCAGCCCTTGTAAATTCAACTATTCCACGATCCCAGTGTAGTTTTATAGTTCCATAGTGGGATTTCCCAGTGTTTTTTTTGAATATTCCCTGCTGAAGTTCTGCTCTTCAATATTCACAGTATTTTATCCTTTCTCCAGCCTATTTTCCCTCAGTCCTGGCTGCTTCTAGAATTTTTATTCTAATTATCCTGTGATTTTCTTCCTGACACAGCACTGGGCCATCCCCATGATTTTCTACCATCCAGGTATTTTTCCTCTCAGACAGGAGTTTAAAAAAGGTCACTGAGAGCAGCCTGTTCAGCAATTCCAAAAGGAAGCACAGGTAGCTGTGGATCATGGCAGCTGTGAATCATATAAACAATCCTCCTCCTGCCTCTGTTGGATCCTTTTATGATAGGAAGATTAATGATGTATTTTTTGACCATTAGTTATGCTGGTGAGGAGCAGCTACAGCCAAATTCTCCTCTGTCCCCTGTGTCCCTTGGGGTCTCTCGGCTCTGTTTGGCACCCAGACCCCACCCCTGCAGGAGTTCAAATCCCATTTTTCCCGTGGAGCCCCTGGGACACACCTGAGATCATGTGCAGGCTCCGGGACTGGATGTTGTCCTCAGCGGGGTCGTAGTCGAAGACGGAGCCGGGGTTGGTTCTCCACACCCGGAGCCCTGCAGGAAAAAGGACAATTCCTGAGGAGAGGCTGAGCAGCACAGCCTGGCAGGACAGCAGGACAGGAATTGTGCCTTCCCCAGCCCTGGGAGTGGCCAAGGCCGGGGTGGATGAGGCTTGGAGCACCCTGGGATAGTGGAAGGTGTCCTGCCCATGGCAGGGTGGGACTGGATGAGCTTTAATGTCCCTGCACCACAAACCAGTCTGGAATTCTTTGAAATATCACCCTTATTTTATAAATCAGTGCTTCTCAATTCTATAGCACAAATTTGGCTTTTTTACAATCAATCTACAGCGGGGTATTTCTCTAATGGATAGAGATGGAGTTCAAAATAGAAGAACCATAAATGCAGTGTGACGTTCTCAAGGTGGGGACAGCAGGTCATAGGTCATTTACAGCTGTTGGGAAAGAATATTTCCAAAAAAGGACTTGGACAAGAACATCTCCAGGTGATGATGAATTGGAATTGATGTGGCTGAGCTGAGCTTAAACCCCTCCTGTAGCAGATGTGCCCAGGTCTCCTGACCTGTGAGGTTCTCCTGGTCCTGGTCCACGCGTTTCCGCTCCATCTCCACCACCCTCCTCTGGATGCCCCTGTAGCTGATGTCACTGAAGTCCTGCATGTTCTTCTTCACGCGCTCCGTGATGGGGTCGGTCACCACGGGCGTGAAGCTCCCTTTGCTCTTCTCAAAGTCCTCGTGGTACTTCACCTGCAATTCCAAAGGATTTGATTCCTGCTTCCCTCAGGGGCATTTCCAGCTCCTGAACTTTGGCTTTCCCAATCCTAATCCCAGACTTGCTTTAGCATTAAAGCCTTGGCTACCCAAACCTGGCAGGACACGTCGTCCTTGCTGCCAGGCAGGGTTATTTTTACCCCGAACTCCCTTCCCAGGGGAAGGACACCTCTGGAAGTGCTCTTACAGTGGAGATGTGTTTCTGGGTCTCCCGCACGCGCCGCATCTCCGGCGTGTCCAGGACGTAGGCGGCTTTTCCTTGGACTTGCTTGCGGAAACTGTCAGAGTAAAGGACCTGCCAGGGGAGGAGGAGCAAGGAGTTACCTCTGGAGCACCAGGCTGCCAAAGAAGGGCCAGTCCCTAAGTGACTCTTACTGAAGAACCACAATTTTATACGTCACAGAATATTTGAAATTTAACTGTTTAAAACCCCCAAGAGAACCCAACTCATGGCAGAAATACTTGAGTGCACCAGAAAGCTTTAAGGAATTCCGTATCCTTCCAAACCCCTCCTGTCTGAGTGAGGATTTCAGGGATGAAGTGTTCCTTTCCTCTGTTGCACCCACCGAGCTGATGTTCTCCTGGTTGCGTTTGGCTCTCTCCATCTCCGGGGTCAGCGGGGTCGGGGTTCCCTTGGCCATGTGCTCCTTGTACAGCACCTGCAGGGCACAAACACAGCTCGGGCTGGAAGAATTCCAGCTTTAATTCCAGCTTTTCCTGGCACTGGGGTTAAAGTTCAAGCAAACTCAGCCCTGCGGAGTGGAAAAGATCTCGGGAAACAAAGCAGCTGAAACGTTATTGGCAAAAGGTAAAAAAAAAAAAATTAAAAAATTAAAAGATCAAAGGGAAAATAGGCAAAAATAAGGAAAACTGGGAAAATAAGGCTGAATTAGGTGGAGTTTGGCTGAGGATGGTTATTTTTGGCACAAGGTGCTTGGCTGTGCTTGCAGTACCGAGCTGATTTGTTCTTGGTTCCGCTTGACTCTCTCCATCTCCGGAGTGAGCGGGCTGGGAGTGGCCTTCCCTAAACCTTCCCTGTATGCAACCTACAGACCACAAAGGAACCCAGTCACAGGGCAGAACTCCACACCTGGGGTGTTACTGGGTTTCACTCAACACCAGCCGTTAGGAGAGGGGAAAAACAAACAAAAAAAAATTAAGGAAAAATCGTATTAACAAGTTAAACAACAAAAAAATCCTTTAGAATTACGGTACTTAAGAGGTGACTTTTGAAAGAAAAAATTAGAGGGTTAAATAAAACCAGGCCGAGTGAGGTTATTCAGAAGAGCTCTGTGCTCTCCTCTGGTTGTTAAGCACTGCAGTGGGAGGTTTGGGAAGCTTTTCCTGCGGGAATACCGAGCTAATCTGCTCCTGGTTGCGTTTGACTCGCTCCATCTCGGGAGTGACGGGCGTGGGGGTCGCCTGCCCCACGTTCTCTTTGTACAACACCTGCGGGACAAACAGCGAGCCGGGCTCTGAAACAGCCCCAAAAAACAGCCTTAAAAAAACTAAAATTATTACTTGGTTACCAGAGTTCAAAACCTCAAACGTTTAGTGCTGCCGGGAGGGGTGAGGAACAGGGAGGGGAAAACTGGGATTATTTGGGGTTAAGGGCTCTATCCAGGCGGCTCCAGAGGCTCAGGAAGTGCCTCTGGCTCTAAGCTGTGTAAAAAATGCTTTATCTGCTTTTTTTTTATCTATATTTGAAGCAATTCCTGGTGTTTTTGGGAGGGAGGTGGAAGTTTTGTTGCCACACTGCCCCAATAATTATGTCAGGGATGGGTGCTTTTCCCAGAAGTCAAATCCACCTGAAAATCCAATGAAAGGTGAAATACTGAACACAGAGAGAAGCCTGAATATCCCTGGAAAACCTGGGCTAGTAAGGGAATGAAATGAGCTCTGTGTCCCTTCCAACCCAAACACTCCCTGATCCCCACCAAGAGCTCTGAACTCCTGAGATGCTCTGGATAGAACCCACAAATTCACAAACAAAGCTGTAAAAAAGGCCTAAAATTCTGGATCACACCGTTAACACCGAAGTAATTTGGGTTTAGAAGGAGCAATTAATGTGCAGAAAAAAAGAAGTACATCTGTTTTTAAATGAAAACCAGCTCTGAGTGGGAGTTAGGCTGTTACTTGATTAAGCTGAAGCACAAAGGAAACCAGAAAATTCTGGGAAGGTACCGAGCTAATGATCTCTTGATTGCGTTTGACTCTCTCCATCTCGGGGGTGATGGGGGTCGGGGTCACCTTCCCCACATTTTCCTTGTACAAAACCTACAGGATACAAGGGAGTACCCAAATGTCATTGAAAAGGAAAAGGAAAACAAGAAAAAAAACCACCCAAAAAGCAGAACAAAGAGCTTTGGAGCCGTCCCACCGAGTTAGGGCTGGGGCACGGGAGGAGGAGTTGGAGCTTTGCCATTGATTAATTTGGGATGCAGGAACGGGCCTTGGCTGGAATCATCGGCGGCAAAGCACAGGGGGAGTAAGAAAGGTTAAAAAAATTCAATCAGGACAACACCATCCATCCCAAAAAAGGAATTTTTTTTTTTTTTCCTAGTAAAACCCTGGCTGGGGCAGCGTTAAAGAGCAGCCGGCGCGGTTTGTGCGCGCCTCGGGGCAGAGGCATTTCAGGGGTTAACAAGCACAGCCGGGTTAAACACCGCAATCCGGTTTTTAGGGACTTTTCCTGCGGGAATACCGAGCTAATGATCTCCTGGTTGCGCTTGACTCTCTCCATCTCGGGGGTGACGGGCGTGGGGGTGGCTTTGCCTATGTTCTCCTTGTACAACACCTGCGGGGCAGAGAGGAGCGGAGAAAGGACGGTCAGTGACAGCTCTGCTTTTCCCCTCGGATTCAGTCCGCAGGAGGTTTTTAAGCAGCTCCTGGCACTGTTTTAGTAGAGGGGTAGTTTGGCAGCCTGGCTGGAGCTGCTGCTGATAAAAGGGGTAAGCACTGCACCGAGGAGCACAAACCCCCCCAGGGGCAGAGCACGGCAGAAAACCCAATTAACCGCTTGAAAAGGAACGGCAGCACTGCAGAGAAAAGGAGAGGAGCTTGAGAGGGTTTAGGATTAGAACACGACATTAAAATCACTCTTAAAACCAAGATCGAGTTAACATTTCAACCGGAGGAAGCCACGAGTGAGGAGCGAGCCCTGCTCTGAGCTGCGTTATTTTGGGACAAATCCTTCTCCAAACGGTTAAAAAAAGGCTTGGAAAGAGTTAAAAGGTTTCAGCTCTGGGTTTAAAGAGTTAAAGGGAAGTTTTGCTCTTGGCAAAGTACCGAGCTGCAAATCTCCTGGTTGCGTTTGACCCTCTCCATCTCGGGGGTGACAGGAGTGGGGGTCCCTGTCCCCACGCTCTCCTTGTACAACACCTGCGCAACAAGAAACCATCCAAAGCCATCAGCACTCATCAAACCCAAATTTTCCTGCGGAACGGGAGCTTTCAAAGCCCCAGCGCAGCCTCCTGAGAAGTCACACCCTCCCTCCTCTGCCGGGGTTAAAACAACGCACGAAGAACTTTAGATATAAAAAAAACCCACACGGATAAAGGGAAGATGGAACAGGGAACAAAACGGTTAAAAACACTTAGAATGACGCAGATATTTGTAAATAACTCCGAACAACGTAAATATTTGTGAATAATTCCATCAGTGAAGAAGTGCCAGGTCAGTAACACAGTGAGGAAGAGGATGATTATGAGGATGGGTTTGTGGGGATCTGTTTGTGGAGTTTGTGGGGGTCTGTTTGTGGTGTTTGTGAGGATGTATTTATGAGGATGTGTTTGTCAGGATGTGTTTGTGGTGTTTATGAAGATGCGTTTGTGGAGTTTGTGGGGATTTGTTTGTGGGGATGTATTTATGAGGATGTATTTATGAGGATGTATTTATGAGGATGTGTTTATGGGATGCCTTTGTGGTGCTTGTGAGGATGTGTTTGTGGGGATGTTTGTGGGGATGCATTTGTGGAGTTTGTGGGGATTTGTTTGTGGGGATGTATTTCTGTGGACGTGTTTGTGGGGATGTGTTTGTGGAATTTCTGGGGATGTGTTTGTGGGGTTTGTGGGGATGTGTTTGTGGGGATGTGTTTGTGGACTTTCTGGGGATGTGTTTGTGGGGATTGTGGGGATTGTTTGTGAGGATGTGTTTGTGAGGATTGTTTATGAGGATGTGTTTGTGGGAATGCATTTGTGGAGTTTCTGGGGATGTGTTTGTGGTGTTTGTGGGGATTGTTTGTGGGGATGTATTTATGAGGAAGGGATGTGTTTGTGGGGACGTGTCTGTGGTGTTTATGAGGATGTATTTATGAGGATGTGTTTGTGGGGTTTGTGGGGATGTGTTTGTGGTGTTTGTGAGGAGGTGTTTGTGGAGTTTGTGGGGATTTGTTTGTAGGGATGTGTTTCTGGGGACGTGTCTGTGGTGTTTATGAGGATGTATTTATGAGGATGTGTTTGTGGGGTTTGTGGGGATGTGTTTGTGGTGTTTGTGAGGAGGTGTTTGTGGAGTTTGTGGGGATTTGTTTGTAGGGATGTGTTTCTGGGGACGTGTCTGTGGTGTTTATGAGGATGTATTTATGAGGATGTGTTTGTGGGGTTTGTGGGGATGTGTTTGTGGTGTTTGTGGGGATGTGTTTGTGAGGATGTGTTTGTGGGGATGTGTCTGTGGTGTTTGTGAGGATGTATTTATGAGGATGTGTTTTTGGTGTTTGTGGGGACGTGTCTGCGGGGACGTGTCTGTGAGTTGGTTAAGCAGCAGGAGGAGAGGAGCAGAGTTTTTCGGGCAGCTGAAGGAGCTGCCGCTGGCACGGTACCGAGCTCAGGTGCTCCTGGTTGCGCCTGACCCGCTCCAGCTCGGGAGTGACCGGGATGGGGGTGCCCGCGCCCAGCTGCTCCCGGTACAGAACCTGCGGGGGAACAGCGACACAAATCCGGGATGAGGGAGAAAAGATGGGATCCTGCTCCAGACAGCGGCGCCGCTCACGCCTGGATGCAAAACCGGGCAGAAAAAGCACCAAAAATCCCAAATAAAGCGGCTCCGGATCCTCGCCCAGCCCAGCCCAGCCCAGCCCAGCCAGGCACGGTTTAGTTCTCCAGGGTAAAATCAGGAAAATCGGGAAAATTCACTCCATGGAACAAAACTGAAGGGGGGATTAAATAAGGAAAAGAGGGTGGGGTTTTAAGAGTAAAAAAAAATAAATTGTTGGGGCTAAATAAGGAAAGGGGGCGGGGTTTTAAGAGTTAAAAAAAGAATTGTGGAGACTAAATTACGAAAACAGGGTGGGATTTTAAGAGTTAAAAAAAGAATTGTGGAGATTAAATTAGGAAAACAGGGTGGGATTTTAAGAGTTAAAAAAAAATAATTGTGGGGACTAAATAAGGAAAGAGGGTGGGTTTTTATGAGTGAAAAAAACCAGGACGGTTGGGGCTGAATAAAGGAAGCAGGGTGGGTTTTTAAGAGTCAAGAAAGAAAAAATCATAAGACTAAATAAAGAAAACACAATGGGTTTTTAAGAATTAAAATAGAATTGTTGGTACTAAATAAGGAAAACAGGGTGGTTTTTCAGTTAAAAAAAAAAAGGATCCTCGCCCAGCCCAGCCCAGCCCAGCCAGGCACGGTTTAGTTCTCCAGGGTAAAATCAGGAAAATCGGGAAAATTCACTTCATGGAACAAAACTGAAGGGGGGATTAAATAAGGAAAAGAGGGTGGGGTTTTAAGAGTAAAAAAAAATAAATTGTTGGGGCTAAATAAGGAAAGGGGGCGGGGTTTTAAGAGTTAAAAAAAGAATTGTGGAGACTAAATTACGAAAACAGGGTGGGATTTTAAGAGTTAAAAAAAGAATTGTGGAGACTAAATTACGAAAACAGGGTGGGATTTTAAGAGTTAAAAAAAGAATTGTGGAGATTAAATTAGGAAAACAGGGTGGGATTTTAAGAGTTAAAAAAAAATAATTGTGGGGACTAAATAAGGAAAGAGGGTGGGTTTTTATGAGTGAAAAAAACCAGGACGGTTGGGGCTGAATAAAGGAAGCAGGGTGGGTTTTTAAGAGTCAAGAAAGAAAAAATCATAAGACTAAATAAAGAAAACACAATGGGTTTTTAAGAATTAAAATAGAATTGTTGGTACTAAATAAGGAAAACAGGGTGGTTTTTCAGTTAAAAAAAAAACAGGATTGTTGGGACTAAATAAGGAAAACAGGGTTGGTTTTATGAGTTAAAAAAAAAAGAAAAGGATTGTTGAGACTAAATAAAATAAATAGGGTGGGATTTTAATAGTTTTAATAGACCCTTGGGACCAAGTAAGGACAACAGTGTGGGATTTTAGGAGTTAAAAAAAGGATTTTTGGGACTAATTAAGGAAAACAGAGTGGGTTTTTAAGAGTTAAAAAAAAGGCAATCACAATCCAAAAGGTGAGATTCAATTACTAAAATGATGTAATTAAAAATCAAGGGAATAAAAACAATGTAAGTAATAATTATGAAGGAAAAAAGAATTCTGAGAGGGCCAAGGATATTATTTTTGGGGTAAGTCAATTATAAGGAAACAGAATATTGTTTTGTTGGTTAAAAAGTCTTTTAAAATCGATTAAAGGGGATTTTTTTTTGGCTTTTGGAGTTCAAAACTACCGAGCTAATGTGTTCTTGATTGCGTTTGACCCTCTCAATCTCGGGGGTGACAGGGGTGGGGGTTCCTGTCCCCAGCTCCTCCTTGTACAACACCTGTGGGGCAAGGGGCAAGAAACAGAATCAAAGCAGCACCAAAAACTCCCAGAGCATCAGAGAGGGGCTTCTGACACGTCCTGGGGGTAAAAATCCCTCGGGAGGAAAAACTCATCTAAAACTCTGCAGTGACTGAGGCTTAAGAAGGGTGGGATATTGGGAAAAAAAGGATCTATTTATATATAAATAATATAATATAGTATATATTATAAGTGATTATGTATAATATAGAAATATATGTTAATCAATTAGTATACATGTTTATATTATATAGATATTTTTATATATTATGTATTATATACGTATAATTTCTAGTGCTCTCCTGGTTTCAGTGGCACTTCCCTCACATTTCCAGAAATCCCAACATATTATAAATTATTATGTATAATATATTAATATATGTTAATTAATATGATTTTTCTATTATATATTTTTAATATATGATGCATTACATACATATAATTTCTAGTGCTCTTCTGGTTTCAGTTGCACTTCCCTCACCTTTCCAGAAATCCCAACAAACCCAGAACACTTTCATGTGCTTCCCTGCCACATTTCCTAAAGGAAAGGGCACCAAACCCAAAAGAAAAGGCACCAAATACAAAGGAAAAGGCTCAAATCCAAAGGAAATGCTCAAATCCAAATGAAATGCTCAAACCCAAAGGAAAAGGCTCAAACCCAAAGGAAATGGTTCAAACACAAACAAAAGTACTGACTACCAAAGGAAAGGCTCCAAACCCAAAGGAAAAGGCTCCAAACCCAAAGGAAAAGGCTCCAAACCCAAAGGAAAAGGCTCCAAACCCAAAGGAAAAGGTTCAAACCCAAAGGAAATGGTTCAAACACAAACAAAAGTACTGACTACCAAAGGAAAGGCACCAAACCCAAAGGAAAAGGCTCCAAACCCAAAGGAAAAGGCACCAAACCCAAAGGAAAAGGCTGAAATTCAAAGGTAAAGGCTCAAAGCCAAGGCAGGAGGAATGCAGGCACCAATCCCAGCTGATTTCCCATCCCACCCCCATCACAGCAGGCTCAGGGATCACAGCCACAGATCTGGGTCAGGTAGGGAATAGCTTGGATTTTATACAGGGCAAAACCAAAAAATCAAAAAAAAATATAAAGGATTGAAGTGATTAATAGAAGGAAAAGCAGATCATAAAAGATATGGCAGGAGAAAGATGGGAAGAAGGGATCTGAACTCATTAGTGATGTGTCTAATTAAAATAAATCAGGGATTACAGAGGAAAAAATGGCAGAACACAAGGAATGGGATGTGCTTATGTCAATCAATTATTTTGTTGGTTAAGATTATTTTAAAATCGATTAAAGGGGATTTTTTTTGGCTTTTGGAGTTCAAAACTACCGAGCTAATGTGTTCTTGATTGCGTTTGACCCTCTCAATCTCGGGGGTGACAGGGGTGGGGGTTCCTGTCCCCAGCTCCTCCTTGTACAACACCTGTGGGGCAACAGAGCAGTCAAAAAGAGGTAAAAACAAAAACAAAAAGTCTGCATTTTATGGAGGGAATTAATGGAATTCTGTGCCCACTAAATGTACTAGAAAGCAGGAAAAATTAGGGAGCATAAATCAGTTATTAATTGTGATAAATTCAGCTGGGAGTACAAATCCAACTGCCTGGATAGGCTCCAGCAGAGGAACAAAGTATTACAGGAAGAGAATTCAGCAAATTATTTTAAAAAATAGGTTTAAAAATGCAAAATAGCTTAAACTTCAGGGAAAAAAATAATGCACATGAAACATCCAGTGTTAAATTATAGGAAAAATATTTTTAAAAACAAGTACATAAAATATGCTGCTAAAAATGTAAGAGCAAAAGGAGGATTTTTTAATGAGTTAATTTGAGGGAATTTAAAGTTTGCAGGTGTTACATAGCTACATAAAACTGAGTTTTTTTCCTGTAATGATAAAAAGATACCGAGCTAAAATTCTCCTGGTTGCGTTTGACCCTCTCCATCTCAGGAGTGACAGGAACTGGGGTGCCAACCCCCAGCCCCTCCTTGTACAACACCTGTGGGCAGCAGGAGTGTGGAAATTCAAATAAAATAAAATAAAATAAAATAACAAATTAAAATAAAATGGAAGGAAAGGGGAGGACATGGAGGTCAGGGAGGAAAGAGAGAGAAGAGAAATAATTTACTATTAGGAAACTGCAAAGTGTGGAAAAAAAATTAGTTATGCTTTGGTCAAGGCTCAGCACAAAACCCTCAAGGACCAGAACCAGGTGATGACGCTGTCACCTCAGCCAGGGCCAGAGCTGCTGGAATGTTCCAAGGCACCTGGAAATTCCCTGGCAAAGGCTTTTCCCCACTCCAGCTCCAGATGTTCTGCCAGGATTGCAGCCAGGCTGAGGTGCCCGTGCCTGTCCCAGGGATCTCTGCCAGGATTGAATTTCAGGTGGGATTTGGGCAGAGTGACCCCAAAAGGTCACAAATTCAACCAGGACTGCAGAACAAAGTGGTGGCATGGTGCTCTTTCAAGTGGATGTGTCAGGAGGGGGAATTCCAGACGGGAATTCACTCCTGCAGCACTTTCCCACATCCACTGGATGTTTCTGGTGTTCCTTCACTGCCATGAGCTGGGAATGTCACCTGGACTCCTCACCAAGCCCTGGGGACACAGCAGAGCCCCAGCAGGGCAGGGACAGGGACAGGGACAAGGCAATCGTGCTTCCAACCCAAACCATTCCCTATCCCGTGACTCAGGAAGGGCTGGGAGTCCATTTCCCTTTGGCAGGAGGTGCTGGAAGGGTGGGCTCAGCTCCTGAGGAGCAGTGGCACCATTCCCACAAGGAATATTTCCTTGGGAAGCAAAGGAAGGCCCTGCTCCAAGGCTTTAATTCCTGAGGTTAAAACCTTCCATCTGCAACAGCGGCACGAGTTAAATCGAGGGGAAAATGAAAACTTCAGGATCCTGCCAGGGCTTCAGGGGTTTGATAAGGAAGGGTTGCCCCCAAAACACCCAAGGATGTGACATGGAGGAGTTACAGGGACTGGGTTTGGGGTTGGAAAGGAGCAGGGGTGGAGATCCCTCAGTACCGAGCTGATGTGCTCCTGGTTCCGTCGGACCCGCTCCATCTCCGGCGTCACCGGCGTGGCAGTGCCAGCCCCTAAACCCTCCTTGTACAACACCTGTGAGGGACAACAGCAGCGCCACAAAAACCCCCCTCAGCACGGGCCAGACCCACCAGATCCCACTGTTATGGGATGGTGTTTAGAGTTAGGATCACTTGGGATTCATCGCACAAGGATTAAGGAAGAGGCTGTGGGGGATTATTCTGTGAATGCATCACTGCAGAGAGGAGATAAAGGCTCAGGGTGAAACAAACGTGGGGAGAAACACCACAACTCCACAGGGATGTTCTGCTGCCCAGCTTAGCTCAGGAAATGCCAGGATTATTTTCAGGCAGGTTTGTTCTTAGAAGAAAAGCGCGTGAAGGTGTAAATCCCCCAAAAAGCACAAACAGTGGAAGATCAATGAGTTAAAACCCAGCCAGGGCACAGCCAGGACTACACCCCTGAGGAAGAACAAGGTTAGGGTGTTAGGAGCACAGGATTATAACAACAGCCCGTTGTTATAAGTCCTGCAGGGTGGAAATACCGAGCTGATCTGCTCCTGGTTGCGTTTGACCCGCTCCATCTCTGGGGTCAAGGGCGTGGGGGTGCCTGTGCCCAGCTCCTCCTTGTACAACACCTGTGGGACACAAGCAGGGTCAGAGCACCCCTGGGACATCCCTGACCTGCTCACTGCCACTGCAAACTGGGATTGTGCACAAAAGAAAACGCAACTCACACCCCTCAGCATCTTTATCAGCACCAGCTCAGAGTGATTTCCCTTCAGTTCTTCATTTAAAGGACACAAATTCAAATATTCTGCTGACCCCACCCTGAGAGGGATATTTTACTTTTCATCTTAGCTTAGGAAATATGACAGAATTACTTTTTAGGCAGTCAGCATTTCTTTATGGGATTAATAAACAGCTTGACCTTTTCTGGAATTGTTCAGTGTACAAAGACTTCATTGTGGGCTTTATTCATTTTCACTTCTGTTTGTTTGCACCACTACTTTACTTTGGGTTAAATCTCTAGGAAATAAATACAACTGAGTGCCACCACTCATGTTATGAGGTTTAATTTAACCTGTAGTTATTTGATTTTTTAAAATGGTCTTTTTCATGAAAGGAGATGTTTGTGGAATAACCCCAACCACATGGGAATACCTGACAAGAGTATTGTCACATTTTGACTCACAGCTCCTCTTGCAAGTAGGAAAATCCTTGTACCAAAACAAAACTTGTACCAAAACAAACTAACAAAAAAAAAAAAAATTCCACTGCTTGGTGTCATTGAAACAAATAAATCAATTACAGCAAGGGAAAACAAGTTGTGGTGAAGGTTAGAAAAAATGAAGAATTATTTGGAAAAACTCAGTTGTCCATAAGTGAGCTGTCATACAACTGTCATACAAAAAGGCTCCATTTGGGATTTTTCCCTCAAATTCTGTCTTCCTGATCCTTTTTCCCCAGTCAAACTTCAGCACACAACCTGGGTCATTTTTGTTCCTAGCTCTGTGTTCAGAAAAGGCCACGGAAGAAACACAGGCAGTGACTGATGGGGGTAATTCCTGTAAAACTCGGGTATTTCAATTTCCTGCTGCTGGCCACGGGGATTTGGGAGAGCTGGAGCTTTCCCAAGAGGAAAAGGCCCTGGAGAGGGCAGAGAGCAGGGAGTTCCTGGGCTGATGTGCTGGGGACAGGAACATTCCAGGGAACAGGGACATTACTGAGCTGATGTGCTGGGAACAGGGACATTCCAGGGAACAGGGACATTCCCAAGCTGATGTGCTGGGAACAGGGACATTCCAGGGAACAGGGACGTTCCCGAGCTGATGTGCTGGGAACAGGGACATTCCAGGGAACAGGGACATTCCCAAGCTGATGTGCTGGGAACAAGGACATTCCAGGGAACAGGGACACTCCAGGGAACAGGGACATTCCCGGGTTGATGTGCTGGGAATAAGGACACTCCAGGGAACAGGGACATTCCAGAGAACAGGCACATTACTGAGCTGATGTGCAGGGAACAGGGACATTCCAGGGAACAGGGACATTCCCAAGCTGATGTGCTGGGAACAAGGACATTCCAGGGAACAGGGACATTCCAGGAACAGGGACATTAATTACCGAGCTGATGTGCTTCTGGGTCTCCTTGACGCGCTTCACCTCGGGCAGGTCAGGAATGGGAGTTCCTTTGCCAATGCTCTCCTTGTACTTCACCTGCAAAGGAATGGGAATTAGGGGAGGGAAATGGATCTACAGGAAAGCTTTCAAAGGTTCATACAGAGCTTTGTCCTGATCTGTGCAGAGGGAAAGTTTAAAGGACTTCAACACCATCCCAAGGGATCCATGGCAAGGCAATTCAGCTGTTGAGTCACTGGGAATGGCACTGAAAGGGTTTTATAAAACCAGAAAAATTCCTTTAAACCTGACACTATTTGGCCTTTCTACCAGCCAAAGGAGAATTTGGGATGTGTAAGAATCCCTCCTATTTAACAAAAGTGAGAATCATCACACAAGTTTCAGCAGTGACGGTGCCATTGCATTTCTGCTTTGCTAACAACAAAAAAAGCCTTTCACAAAAAGATTTTTAACATTTTTAACACATTATGCGTGAACAAACTGGCTGCAGTGTTAGTGTATGACACTAAATGACACCACCATTCAAAAAAGGCATGGAGGAGGTTTAGGAGCTTTGAAATAAAATTAATAGGTAAAATAGAAGGCTGTGACCTTTTAGATAACATCCAAGTTTGCCAGGACAAAACAAACCAAAAAATTCTCCACCAGAAAATTCAGTCTGAGCAGAGTAAAACAGATTTTCCTGGGAGATGGTCCCACCCTGGAACAGGTTGTGGAATCTTCATCCTGTGGGATACTCAAAACTCATCCTAAAGCTGAGCCACAGGGTTGGAATAGATGATTTCAACAGATCCCTTCCCACCTAAATATTTCTTTTTTTCTGTCCAAACTATATCTGGGATGAGATCAAATTGACAGCAAAATCTTTTGTGGTTTAGAAATGGGTTGTGAGTAAGAAATAGAATGTTAATCATTAGAGAGGTTACTGTTAAAGTAACAAGGATAGGCAAAAACTTCCAGAAAGTCACCCTTGACTGGGTGGGTTATTGCCAAACCACTGTTAGCAAGATGTAAAGAAAAGAAAAATAGAAAAATAATATTATTTCAAGTTGAATTAGCAGCAGTAGAGTGAGTATTAAAAACCAATCCTTGTGTACCGAGCTGATATTATCCTGGGTTCGTTTAACTCTCTGCATCTCTGGGGTCTTTTCAATTGTGGTTCCAGTTCCAATGTCTTCTTTATACAAAATCTTAACATTTAGAATGAAGACAACAAGGTTAAGCATCCAAAACACAACATTCTTGCTCCCAGACACTGAATTTGGACACAACGGAGCAGCTGAAAGCCCAGAGGATCCACTCTGGTCACTGCCTCTCTGAAGGTGTCCAAAGTGAGCACCATTTGGGGGAAAAAAAAGAGCTGATCTTTTCTGTTTAATGCTTTTTATGTAGGAGATAATTTAAACAATAAATCAGAATATCAAATGTATTTCAGCAGAATATTCCTGGGCTAGAGGGAGGAGCCCCTGCCCGTGGCAGGATGGAAGAAGATGAGCTTTAGGTCCCTTCCACCCATTCCATAATTCCATAATCAAAACATTTGGAGGCTAATTTTAGGACTGAAGATCATTATTTGCTCTAATTTGATTTATACAAATATTTTCCACTTTGTTAATGGTGCTGGAGGCAAAATGCCACAGGAGACTTGATGGCAACAGGAACTGGGCAACAATGCAGGCACACAGAGCACGAGGGGCAGCAGGACAGGGAGGGACTGGCATGGGAACAGCACAAAGGAAAGGGACAATAATTATATTCATTTAAGGAGGGATTGTTTGACTCTGTCACAGCTGTGCCTGTGAAAGAGGGCAATCACCCCACAAAAACAGCAGGGAAAACACTTTATAAAGCCCAGCTAAACCTACTGTACCTGTAGGAGGAGCACCCAAAAATTGAAATGTTATTAAAGACATTAAAGTGTATTTTTTGGGCTGAGGAGTGAAGACAGAGGTGACCATACCGAGCTGAAATTCTTCTGGTTTTCCTTCACCCTCAGGATTTCTGGGGTGTCCTGGACCACTGTGACTTTTCCTTTACTGTTCTGTAGGTCTGACTGATACTGAAGCTGTGAAAATGGAAAATGGGAAGTGTTAACTCTATGCTGTACAAATTCCCCCACAGTTTTCTTCAAAAACTGAGATAAATATGGGAGGTTTTTTTACTTATTTCTGGACTTACCATGCTAAAGTTCTTCTGATTCTCTCGGACCCTCTGCATTTCTGGTGTGTCAGCCACGGGCACGTAGTAGGGCATGCTCTTCTCTGCATCTTCCTTGTATTTTTTCTGATGGAAAACCCCAAATGGATTAAAATAGAAAACACAAAAGCAGCAAGAAACCAACTGGAGTTATTGATTGTTGAGTAGTGCCCATCTTTGTGGAGATGTGAGTTCTTCTCTGTCTGACAGAAACTGAGATTATGCCTCTGTGCAAGATTTATTTTAGACAGCAGGTTATTGAGGGGTAGAAAATTAAGAAGAAACTGCTTAAAGAAGAATTAGCTTTGCAAAGCAAGAGAAATTATTGTGTCACTTGACACAGCAGTAAAATTAATTTGATTATTGCCATAGAATTCCAGAGCTCTGAAAAGAATTATTCCCTGGTGCCTCCTGAAGGTTGTGAGAGGTGGTTATTTGGGTGTTTCATTAGTATTTCCTGGAGTTCCCACATGAGCAGGATTAATTGCTGCACTCAAGATACCTGGCTGGAAAGGTTCTTGACCTGCTGGGCATGAATAATCTCTGGAGTATCAACAACACTGGTGTAGTTGGCTTTCTCCATTTCTGCCAATTGTTTGTATTTGATCTGTCGGGCAAAGCTCACGTTTAGGGGCCTCGGTCGTCTCTGCACAACAGCTCACACTGGGTTTACCCAGAAAAATCTGAATTTTCCTTTCTAAGGAGCTCAGAGAGTCAGGGTGGCACAGACCTGGCTGGCGATGTCGGTGGCGTTCCTGGCGCGCACGAAATCCGGCGTCTCCAGCGCCAGCTCGGTCAGGCCCTTCCCGCGGATCTCCTGCTCCAGGGCTCGCTTGTACTCCTTCTGCAGGGAGCCAGGGGTGGGCAGGGAAAAGGGGTCAGGTTCACAGCCACACACCAGGAACAGGGCCAGTCCCAGCCAGGAGCACAGCCCACCCCAATAGGAATATCACAATCCTAAACCAGGAACAGTGTCCATCCCAACCAGGAGCAGTGCTCATCCCAACCAGGAACAATGACCATCCCAACCAGGAACAGTGCCCATCACAAACCAGGAGCAGTGCCCATCCCAAACCAGGAACAATGACCATCCCAACCAGGAGCAGTGCCCATCCCAAACCAGGAACAATGACCATCCCAAACCAGGAGCAGTGCTCATCCCAACCAGGAACAGCGCCCATCCCACACGAAGAGCAGTGCCCATCCGAAAGAGGAATAGCACAAATCCCAAACCAGGCACAGTGCCCATCCCAAATAGGAACAGTGCCCATCCCAGCCAGGAACAGTGCCCATCCCAACCAGGAACAGCGCCCATCCCAAACCAGGAGCAGTGCCCATCCCAAACCAGGCACAGTGCCCATCCCAAACCAGGAACAGAGCCCATCCCAAACCAGGAACAATGCCCATCCCAAACCAGGAACAGAGCCCATCCCAAACCAGGAACAATGACCATCCCAAACCAGGAACAGTGCCCATCCCAAACCAGGCACAGTGCCCATCCCAAACCAGGAACAGTGCTCATCCCAACCAGGAGCAGTGCCCATCCAAAAGAGGAATAGCACAAATCCCAAGCCAGGAACAGAGCCAATATCAAACCAGGAATAGTGTCCATCCTAACCAGGAACAGTGCCCGTCCCAAACCAGGAATACCTCTAATATCAACTCATAATGATGCACACAAATGATATAATTTCAGATTATTTCTGTTTGTGCTTCATTACTTAAATCTTGGTTTAGTCCATTGATAAATTAACTAATGAGTCCCCTGAGTGACTGTTGATCCCAGTTCCTGTTTCCTATCTGAATTCCTGACAGTGACTGTGAATCCAGGAAAGAGCTCTCTTAGAAGTCCACTTTGACCCTTACTCCCTCATCCAAGTTCTTTCTGGCCTCCACTCAAGAGTTTCCAGGGAATGGTGAAGTTCCACCAGTCTAAGGGCAGGGATGGATGGGATATTGGGAAGGAATTCCTGGCTGGGAGGGTGGGGAGGGATGGGATGGATTCCCAGAGAAGCTGTGGCTGCCCCTGGATCCCTGGCAGTGTCCCAGGCCAGGCTGGACACTGGGGCTTGGAGCAGCCTGGGATGGTGCAAGGTGTCCCTGCCATGGCAGTTGGACATTCCATCCACTCAGGCATTTTCCAAGAAGCTCTCCCATACCTCGTTCAGGATCTGAGTGGCATTCTTGGCTCTCAGCATGTCTGGAGTCTCCTCTAAGGCTGTCAGTCCTTTCCCTTTGACTCCTTCCTCCAGATCCTTCCTATACTCTTTCTGCAGGAGAAGGAGAAGGAAAAACACTGCAAAGCCAGACCAAAGGGAGTTTTACACTCTACCAACTTTGTTGCAAAAAAGTTAAAGAAAATGAAAGAAAAAAAAGTTCCAAAAGCTCCAAAAGAAAAGAAAAAAAAAGGAAATTTGAAAAACAAGAAAGAATATTGTAGAGGGTTATGGAAGAAGTACTCCAACAAAAGATAGGGATTATTGTGGAAGATAAATTGCCAAGGCACACACATATGGACCAGTTAGGCTGAGGGAAGTCAGAGAGGGGCAGCACATGGGAATATGGTTAAGGGACAAGGACGAAATGTCCATGGCAAATTAGCTGACAGCACAAAATGGATGTAAACATGCTCAGTGTGGGTGAGGAGAGTGGGGAAGAAGAAGTGGGAATGCTGGAGGTGCTGCAGGAGGCAGAGGAAGGAAGCCCAGAGGAGCTGGTACCTCGCTCGCTATTTTGGTGGCGTATTTGACATGCAAGAGGGATGGTGTGACCTCCAGGCCAGTGAGGTTCCTGCCCTTCATGGACTCTTCAAAGTCCTTCTTATATTCTTTCTAATGAGAGCAAGAAGAAGAAGAAGGGAAAAAAAAAAAAAGAAAAAAGAAAAAGAAAAAGAAAAAGCAAAACATGAAATATTTATTACAATATTTTCATAACGTGCAAAGCTGGGAGGGTGTCAAAATCACTTGGGTATAGTTGATGTTAAATCCTCTTCCCACTAAAATTTGTGAAGCAGCTCATTGCTTTCTATGGAAATAGGATCTGATCCTGCCTTTATTTTTTATTTTTCTACTCATTTATCTATGCAGAGAAAGCATTCAAAGGTACCACAAGGACTAATGGCCTTATACAGCTGCTTTGCAGCCTCCATCTGGGCCAGAAGATGAATAAATTTCAAATAAACACAAAAAAGCTGCTCAAGAAAAGAAAATGACAGGTCAGGGGAGAACCTGTGACAGCAGAGACATGCAGGGAATAAAAGAGTTTCTCAAAAATGGAGTTTTGAGGTGAAAAAAAAGAAGCAGACCACTTTCTGTGTCTTGTGATAACACACAAACACTGTGTTGTGTTGTAAAAGTAAAATTTTGTACCACATTCCTTAGTCAAAGACTTGTTTAAGCTTCATTTAAAAAAAATTACAGATAAACTCATTTCATGACAGGAAAGTGCCATGAATGTTCAATGCAGCATTTAACAACCATCATAAAGAAATATGAAATTACTATAATTTTTCAGTCTATCAGCCTGCACAAGGTGCAAGTACAATTGCCTGTCAAATCCCTAAGTTTAATATAAAATAGAAATTTTAAACTTTTCAGCCCATCAGTATTGATTTTACCTCGCTCTGCATGAGCTGAGATTCCTTTGCAGTCAGGTATGTGGGAGTTTCAAAGTCCAACATGGGTTTCCCTTTTTCCTTCTCATACTTTTCTCTGTATTTCACCTGAGAAGAAAAGACAGAGTCACTCTCCTAAATAACCAAAGACCTAATTAATCAAGTAGTATGTACCTACTATCAACACTTCTGGGATAAAAACTGAATGTCTAATGCAGTTTGCCTTCCTGAAATGTGTATTATTGATCAGCAAATGTAAAATTCGGTGTCCAGGAGTTAAAATGTCCATGCAGATGATTCCTGCTTCGAGTTCTAGTCTCCAGATTTTCAGAGTGCTCAGTGAGGGAATGCTGTGGCCAAGTCAGAGCCTGATCCCAGACTGGAGAAACAAGGATTGACTTAAAAATCAATTACAGCCTCATTAACAACAGCCTGATTAACAACCATTTCCTTGTAGTCCTTGGCTGTGGGACCTCTTTGCCTTTCCATGCCTTGAACACCCCTGGAAGTGCCCAAGGCCAGGCTGGAGCAGCCTGGGATGGTGGGAGGTGTCCCTGTCCAAGGCAGGGGTGGGTGTGATAATCCCAAATGTCCCCAGACCCTTCTGGAATTCTGTGCCAAGCACAGAACAATCAGCTGTGGGCCTTGGTGTTCTTGCAGTAATTTCTCTCTTGCTTTACAGCCAATAAATACTTGGAACAGAGAGGATCAGAGACCAAATGAGACTCTGAATTTCTCTGGAGTGATCCACTGTTTTATTCCAGAGGGGAAATCTCCAGCCATGTTGATAGTTTTGGTTGTTTTGGATGCAGGAGAGGTCAAGCAGAGCTCTCCTTTGGATCATGGAATGGATGAAGCAGTTGGAAATCCACTGTCAGCAACAACCCTAATTCCTTCAGTTCCCAGTTTCTGTGATTCCCAGGTCCTTTTTTCTCCAGAGATAAATCCCCCTGATAAATGTATTAACCTGTGTAAAAAGATCCATGTAGAGCAGAGGTGAGCAACAGGGATTGGCTCTGGAATGAAGGAATCACAGGGAGATTTTATCTGTGTATTTTATGTGTTCTGCACTTGGAAATGGCAGGTTCTGCTCCCTGGATCCTTTCCCAGGGGTGCAGTGCTGGTGGGGCAGAGAGGGACAGGGAATGTCCCAGCCTGGAGGATTCACTGGGAGGATTTTGATGGAATTTGGAGCTCAGTGAGTTGGGATAGGGACAAACACACGTCCAACTTACGTGGCTCTGGAGCTCTGAGGCCTCCCTGAGATGAACCTGTTCAAGATTATCTGGCACCACATGGTAGTGACCCTTACTCTTCTCATATTGCTTCTTGTACTGGTACTGAAGGGAAGGTGTCAAAAATCATCTCAATCAAAAAAAAAAACCCTCAGCAAATTTACTTCTTAGGTCCAATCAAAGCAACACTTCAATGGAATATCAGAGAGAAATTAGAAATGCAAGAAGTAAAACAAAAACCAAGAAGTTTAGAATTGATATTGGGGGTTAAAGATGTGAGGGAATAGTTATATTTTACAGTCATTTGGATTGCAACAAAGGTTTTTTTCCAAACCAGGATTAAAAGAAGAAAAAGAAAGAGAAGAGAGAAAACACAGCAGGTAAGGAAAAGGCTGTACTAGGCAATAAAGGTTTTGCCTTTTCTCTTTATCAATTACTTTGTTAGGCATAATTACGTGGATTTACAATAGGGGAGTGTTAAACAAACATCCAGTAAAAGTAAAAAAAGTAAAGTAAAAAAAAATCCAGATAAAAATTAAAAAATTAAATATAGTAATCAGCAAAGAAAAAAGGAAAAAATAAAAAAGGTATTTGTTAGTGTAGTGCAATCAGTTAAAAATGGGATCAAGAACCAATCCAGTAAAAATGATCAGAGGGTTTAAAACATGAGCAGTTCTGCAGTCAGTTAAAATGGGATCAAGAACCAACCCAGTAAAAGTGATCAGTGTTTGCAACATTAGCAGTGCTACAGGAGATGAGGATTTCCCTTCCCAGGGCACACGCGCGGGGCAGCCGCCGGTTAAGGAGGCACCGTTGGGAAGCAGAGGAAGAGATCACTACCAGGTGATGCCCATGGAGGTACCCCAGGAGCAGCTGTTACAGCAGGAGTTAGCAGGGAATTCCCAAGGGAATTCCCACCCTGGGAGCTGTGGGATCACCCGGAGCTTACAGCACTGGCGAGCTGGCTCGTGCTCAGCACGTGGTTCATGAGCAGCGACTCCTTCATGTCCGTCACGGGCTTGTGCAGCTTCTTCAGGTCTGCCTTGTACTTCACCTGCAGGGAATAAGGGTCAATCCATCAGGAGAGGGCCCTGCTGGTCCAGCCTGGCCCGGGGGAGGTTCCAACCACACAAAGCAGGGATTTGGGAAAGCAGGATGGGGTCTCCTCCCAGGAAAAGCCAAGATGAACGTACCTCGCTGGCCATGTTGTGGGCGTCCTTCAGGGTCTTGTAGATTTTGGCCTCCTTCAAATCATATTTGGGCTTTTTACCCAGCTCTTTGGCAAAGTTCTCCTTGTATTTCACCTAAACAGAGAACAACCAGGTGTCACAGCTGCTCACTCTGCAGAGGGGCCCTGTTTCAGTGGGGCTGGCTGGCAGAAGAAGGAAAGCGCGGGAACTTGAAGGTGTTCACTGGAAAAAGGATTTCAATCCATATTTCAAAAATGATGTGAGATGGAAAGAAAATCTACATCTATCTGATATTCACAAGATACCAGTTGCAATTTTTCATCCAGTGCAAAGGTCACACCTCCTCATTGTAAAAATAAAAGAGTCAAGAGAATTGTGGTGCCAAAATTCTGACCTTTGGAGGTGAAGAGTTTTTCACTTGATGGGAACAGTCCATTGAGTAAAGATGTTTCACAAAGACAAACAGAGACAGGTATAATAAAAGTAAAATACAAGAAAATTATATATTATATAACATTAATATATAATATATAAAATATAATAATGTAAGAGTATACGGAAGAGTGTTAAGAAGAAATTTTTATACACTTCTTGGAGAAATAAGAGCTTTAAAAACCTCAAGACTTCAGAGCATTGAAGATGTCAATACATTAAATACTTTTCTATCTATTGTTATGCACACAGAGTGCTCTGTCTGGATTAAAAGAAGACATTAATCACAAACAGAGCAGTGACACAATTAATTACTAACGATAAATAATTAATTAGATTCTACAAGAGTTTTAGTAACACTTCCAAAACCACATCAGCTTCAGCCAAGTCAAACATAGCACTGTGAGCCATCAGAATCCAGCAGATCCAGCCTGGAGGCACAGGAATATTGACAAGAATGAGAGTTTTTTAAACCCAAAAGGAGAGTTGCTGGGAGATCAATGCAAAATCAAAAGCAAGCAAGCCAGACAGACAAAATCCAACTAAAAAACACAACTGGACACAGAAAGTGGACATGATGCTTTACAAAGTTTATGAGAAGAGACGTCCAAGAGAAAAAACAACTGCTAAAGATGATGCCAACCATTCTTTGCTCCCTCACTGCCCCTCCAGCAGCTCACTTTCCCTCAGAACCAAAACTATCTCAGCAAAGAATGTTTGAAAGACCAAGAGTGGAAAAAGAATGGAAAACCAGGATCTCATCACTGAAGTGGAACAAATAGAACTTCTTCTTTTTCTTGTAGATCAGTTTAGAATGGTTGGTTCTCCTGAGGAGATCCTTGGTTTTCCTGCAGACACCGTGGTGGACATTCCAACATCCAAACATGGCAGCAGACACAGCCAGACATGGAAAAAACAAAATCCCTTTTTTTTTCACTTGGAAATACATGTGTAAAACTGAAATGGCACAGACCTGTCTGCTGCCACTCCCAGATGGACAATCCAGGCTCTGGTTTTCTGTTTTCCAAAGGTTTTGATATGGGAAGAAGTCTAAGAAACAATGAGCTCTCACACCAGTATAGGCTTCACTTCTCAGTGGGACTGATGCAGTCAGAGCCTGCTCTTCTATTAGGAAATTCCAGCCAATAAAACAGTTTAATTAAAGTTTAAATGAAGTTTTAATAGAAGTTTGAAGAGTTAAAATGAAGTTCTGGTGACTGTTCACTGAAAATTACCAGCACCATTGTTCAGGTTGGTCATACATATATATCTACACATGTATTTCCCTGTGGTTTTTTTTTCCATTTTTGGACAGTAACAGCTCAGATTTTAGATTTTTGGGTGAAAAAGGTGAGTTTTGACATTATGTGAGCACACTTAAACCTTCCATAAACAACCTGGAAGCTCCAAAACGATTACGAAGGGCAGAATGACATGTAAAGCTTCACAGGGTGCTGCAGAATTGCAAGATAATTATGCCAGCAAGAGACAAATGCACAACAATGGCATTAAATGGCAGTTAATTAAATTCTCTTACATGACTACTTAGCATATTTGCTTTCTTAAAGGTTCTCATCCAGGGAGTGTCATAGGAAGCAGCTCCATGGCCTCTCATGTGTTGTTTGAGATATTCTGCCTACAACCAGCAGCAAGAAAGCAAAGTCAGAAAGGCAAAAATCCAGAATTGAAACACAAAGAGGTGAGAAAGACCCAAGAGGGACTGAGGTCCTGGCACAAGATTCTTTTAAAGATACAAAGAAAAAAGAAAGTGGCTGAAAGAAACCAAGTGTCCATTCAAAGGATGGAAAGTAAGAGTTGGGTGAAGGCTGGTTCTGGTAAAGCCAATACCCAAAGAGCTAAAAAAGAACAGGGCAAACGCTTCAGCTTCAGCATTTATGTCACAGCATCATCCTAAGAAGGTTTTATATCTCCATTAATGACAGTAGAAAAGTTTAATAAAGAAATACTTTGTATTGGTATTTAATTTTTACTTCCCCGCATTCCCTTTCTTTCCCTTTTTCCTTAATTTGGAAATAATTTCAATTGCAATCATGACATCACTCTGTAAATTAATTTTTCATCTCATTTCTCTCACTGCTTTGAGTTTCACTAAGGTTTGATTTTGCCCTTACCTGGCTGGTCAGTTTGGACACCTCCTTGGCCAGCTCAATGTCTGGACGTCCCAGCATGGTCACACCCACACCTGCTGCTCCACGCTTCTTGTATTCAATCTAACCAAAGAAATAAATCCTTTAGGAGTCAGGAAACCCTCTTTTAATTATTCTACTGGATTTTGTAATTAAATTAAGGCTAAAGGATTATACAGAAGGCTTAAAGCCACTCACATTGCTGATTAACTTGGCAGCCTGAGTTGCTTTCTTAATATCTGGTCGATCTGCTATAGGTGTGTAGTGGAGTTTGGATTTGGCATCTTTCTTGTATTCAATCTAATCCACAGAAGAAGACAGAGGAAAGAAAATTAATGAGAAAATTAAATGTATTCATTGTGAATACACCAATTAAGGACACAGCAACGTTGCTGAGAAAGCTCATGGGTTTGTTTTGGGAAACAATTCACAAGACATGGATCTGGAAATCTGGTTTTGCAAGTTGTCTGCAAGTGAAGAAATAAATATGTGCCTGAAGGGTTGAAAAAAAATTATAAGATATGATTTACACCAGACTACTTGAAATCCTACAATGGGATTTAAATACAAATCCCTTCTTTCAGTGCAATTTTATATTTGTAAATATTTGTATATTTATCTTTCAAAATTACACCTGAACATGGAGGCTGGGAGGAGATTCAGAAATCCATAAATTTGGGTTTTTTCAGATGAATTTGCTACATAACCCAATAAATTAATGGAAAAAGAGGCAAACTTACTGTGCTCTGGTTTTTAGCAACTTCCATGGCATGTTTCACCTCAGGAGGCTCCAGCATGACAGAATAATTGGATTTGCCTTTCTCCTTCACAAACTTCTTCTTGTAGTTTGTCTGTCAAAAACAACAAGGGCCACGTGTGAGTTTTTAATGTCACACAGAGGGAAATGCTACAGAAACTTTGGAAAAAAGCTCCCTGAAACTTCTGTAGGTGGATAAAGAGGAATCACCTCATTCCCAAAATGTGCTGGCTGCAGCTTTTGGAGCTGGGATTAGAAAAGCTCAGCTTTGGAGATGCTGAGCTGAGCCTGAACTCACCTCGCTGACGTTCTTGGTCACCTCCTTGACGTGGACAGTGTCCCTGGTCTCGGGCAGGGTGGTGAAGGAGCCGTGGGGCAGCTGCTTCTTGCTCTGCTCTTTGTACTTGTTCTGCCAGCACAGGGGAAAGCCAGGTCAAACCCAGCAGCTCCAGGATGGAATTCAATCCAATTAAATGAAGAAGTAAATGAATGTTTTACCTCAGACACCAGAGAGCTGACGTTCTTAGCCAGCAGGATCTGAGGAGTGTCCGGAACAACGTGGTACGTCCCACGGGCTTTGTTGTGCTTCTCTTTGTATTTGATCTAGCAGGAAGGAAAGATATCAACTTAAATAATGTGCTTTTTGTCTTCTGGCAGAATAAAAAGCAATTTGTACAGCCATGTTTGCTTGTTAGTGCAAAATTTTGCAGAAAATCACATATTTTGACATCTTACAACCTAATCAATACATTCCTATGGCTCTCACTTGGATTTTTTTTTTAATATACTGAATACTAATATACTGTTAGTAATTATTAAAGATGTTTTGTGTTATTATTAAAGGTATTTTGTGCTATTTTCTCCAGACACTTCAATTTAAATACCAGGAATGCAGAGATGGGTGTAAGGTCTAGGGGTGTTCAGGCAATGTTGACTTTGAATACTAATTTAATCCATGAAGAATGGCTTTTACAAGACCAAATTTATTCAGTCAATTTGTTAATTAAATAAATCAAATAATGAAATGAGACTGAGAACAACTGTCCAAAGCTTCACTGCTAATCCAGTTATATTTGCAATAGAACAGTTTAGTAGTGAGTAAAGTGGTAGTAGAGAACTTGGAGAGGAAAGGTGAATTCAGCCCTTACATCACTGGCCAGGATGGCATTGTTGAGGGCCAACACTGTGTTTTTATCATCTGTGACAGAGAGTTTGCACCCCTTGAGGAACTCCCGGTCCAGTTTGTATTCGTACTGCAGGAAGGAAAAAGAAAAGATTAAGTAAGAGAGTCTCTGATCTTCTCCAATTAAAAAATATTCTGAATAGGAGAGGTGTGGAAATGGAATATTCAGTGTATTTTGATTTGCTTACATCACTCTGCTGCAGAGAGGACTTGGCTGCTTGGACAAAGTCAGGCCTGTCAGCAATCAGGTGCCAGTGGGCTTTGGCTGCTTCGTATTTCTTCTTGTAATCCAGCTGTGTCCAGGGAAAAACCAAACAGGGAGAGTTCATGAGAGTTCATGGGAAACTGGGGACTATGCACACAACATACAGAGGCCAGTTCTCTTTTGGCCTGTGAGAAGAGGTAAGAAAATGTATCTACACCAGATTAGGGCTTTTCCCTGGGTCAGGCACAGCCCAGCCACTGCAGGCTTTCCACTGCTGGGTGGAGAAAGGGATATGAAGGTGGAGAAAAGGAATATGAAGGTGGAGAAAGGGATAAGGACTGAAATGATGTCCTGACTTTGGAGAAGAGGAAAGCTTTGAGATCCTTCCTACTGAAATGGGTGTTGGGCACCAATAACAGACAACACAGGAAAGTTTTCCATGGGGCTTTGCTTTGTGTCCAAGAGCATCATCCCATGGAATTCCTGGGACAGTTGTGTCTCTGCCAGGAAAACAGGGGACAGCTGGAAGAATGGGATGTGTGACATACAAGAACCTCAAGGACAATTCACCAGAGTGAGCACTTCAGTATGAAATAAATTAAAACACATTTTCTTCCAGCAGTGTAAGGATTAGAAGCGATGCCCAAAAAATTCGGTGGAATTCAATTTCTTGTGGAATAATTTCTTGTGGAAATAATTCCTTGTGACTTTCACTGCCAGTTCCCAACACCTTCCAGAATAAAATTAAACCACGAACAGGACAGAACTCACGTTGCTGTTCAGTTTGTAGGCGTGCCTGGGAGTTTTGATGTGAACTGAATCTGCCACGACGTTGCAGCGAGATTTGCTCCTCTCATACATTTCTTTGTATTTCAGCTGAAGAAAGACAAAGATGTAAAAAATGTGTGCAAAGATCAGATCAGCATCAACAAGAAAAGCATCCAAATATGAAAAACTTAATTAAAATTGCTCCTGTCTGGATGAAATCTTAATAGGAGAAAATGACTGGAGGTGGCACTCAGGGCTCTGGGCTGGTGATGAGGGGGAAGTTGGGCACAGCTTTAGTTTGACGGTCTTGAAGGCTTTTCCAACATAAATAATTCTGGGATTCTATGAAAAATAAATTCTGTTGATACAACTCGATATCAAGCACCTGCCTGAAGGAGGGTTTTCTCCAGCAGCACTTCTCTTTGTAGAGAAAATGAGGCAGTTTTAACTCACCATGAGGCACAGACTAAGATGAAACAAAATCTATTTATGACCGGTAATTCTGAATAGTTCTAGATTTTTGCAGCCAAAAGAAATCTTTTGAAGAAACTTATTTACTGATAGTTACAATAATTGAAAACTCTTTCAGAAAATCTCAGCACTCAGTTTGGAGCTTAAAATATGTCCTTCAATTCACATCTCAGTCTCTCAATGATCCACTTTAGTATCTGGATAAAAATTACTATTTTTTCTCCTGGATCTACTAATTATGTAGAAATCCATGGAGCATCTGGATTGGGCTACTTATTCTGACAGTACTACACTGAATTTCAGAAGTTTCAGTATCCTCATTTATGGATACCTAAGGAACAATGAAACAAAGGACAGAGAGAAAGGGTAGGAGAAGGAATTAGGAGTAGGAGTTCTAAATTCTTTATTATTCTATCCACTCCTTCCTTGTTTCTCTCTCTTTCTTACTTTTCTATTGCCCTAGAATCAAAACATATTTATTTTAGATCAGACTATTTACCTTATGGATATTCACAGTATCCATATAAGAAATTACTAAACACAGCAACACATGAAATATTTTATTCGAGCCTCAAAAAAAAAAAAAAAAGCCACTAGAGGAAGAAAAACCAGAAAAAGAAACCTCTCCAAATTAATGATTTAGAGACCACTTCCAGCTCATGGCTTTTATTTCTAGTGAGGGGTGGTTTGTCCCATCATAAAATGTTCTAGGAGCTCCAAAAGAAAATTCTACGTAAGACCTCCTGAAAAACTGGGTTTTGAAAGAGCACTGAATGCAGACAGAGTTTTACAGGCCAATATGGTCTAAGAAGGTGATGATTTCCACTGACAGCGTTACACAGGAGTGACAAACATTGGCTACCAAGCTAAAAAGTGAATTTTGGGTGGTTTTGATGCCACAGAGGATTCACTCACGTCACTGATCCTGTCCTTGACCTTGCGCACGTGCAGCAGCATCGGCGTGTCCTGGATGGTGGTGTAGCCCTTGGGCTTGGCTTTGTTGTACTCCAGCTTGTAAATAATCTGAAGGGACAAATTTGGGGCTTGGGTTATTTCTTGGAATCCTTGGTGTCAGCTGGGAGTTCCCTGGGGGTGACTGTCCCATCCCAAAGGATCCACACTTACGTCACTGATCTGCTTGTTGACCTTCGTGGTCCGTAAATACTCTGGAGTGTCCAGAACTGTGGTGTATTTGTCTTTCTTCTTCTCATAGTCCTTCTTGTACTGAATCTAGAGATGCAGAAAGGCTCTAAGTTAGCCACACAGAGCAGGGCAAAACCTCTCCCAGAGGTGGGATTATATCCATGGGCAAAATTGCAAAACCCTCCCACAAAGGCAAAGAAAGCAGAACATGCACCATGAGCTGAATTGCAAACCCCTTCCTGGCCCAGGAGGCTGCCTGTTTGTTTGTCTGATTCATTTTATGGTTATTTCAAGCTAAAATCCCCAGGACTAAGCTAGAAAAAAATCAATCCTTGCAGACCAGATGCTTTAGAATTTCATAAAGGAAAATATGGCATTTTTAGATATACATATTGGTTGAAATTTGGACTTGGTGATCTTGGAGGTCTTTTCCAACCTTAACGATTCTGTGATCAGAGTGAAGAGAAATATAAATCATCTCATATAGCAGGAGATAAAAACATTACCAAATATATCCCAATGCCAGGGTATTTTCAAGGCTTTGGTAGCAGGATTTGTGCCTTGGTAATGATTTTCTTAAGGATCAGCTTGCCCTGCTCAGGTTTCTAAACCTTTTCTCACAGAGTTCACCAAGTGAGAACAGGTTCACCAAGGATGGAAATTCATTGTAGGCAGCCTCAAGGCAGCTGGAAAAGGTTAGAATACATTTTTAAAAAAAGAATTTTCATGCTCTACCCTTTATCTGAAAATAAACCCATGCATTTGAAATGGAACTGCGACAGACAAAATATGAAAAATGATAAACAAATAATCAATGATAACACGGAGTGAACTCGGGGAACATGCAGGTCAGACACTTGTTTTTTAAATTCAAACATACTCAAAGTTACCTGCAAGGAGTTTGTAGTGAAAGAATATAAATCCACAGAAAAATGGAACACAAATGTCTGAAAGACCTTCAGTAATTTATTACTGAAGAATGTCACTATTGGCACAGGCAATAACAAATTACAATTCCCTCTGACAGAATTGTTTTCCACTGCTGCATTTCCAGTCTATCATTTATATTCCAATTCATGATCAGGAATGATTTTTCCTCTGCAAAGGGTGAGCTGATTGCCAGCAGCTGTGATTTCAGAGCAAAAATAACTGTTCTGTGTCTAACACCATTCTGGGCACAGCGGGAGATCAATGTTGGAATCTCCCTGGCAAATCCATCATGTTCTTCCTGAATTAAGGAACTGGGGTTATCAAAGGTGTCCAGGCCAAGAAATGGTGTCAGAATAAGAACTGGGTTAGGGAAATACCAGGAAGAGCTAACATCCAATATCTGAAATGTACAGAAATTTCCTTTTTTACAGAAATACGTGAAATACATACCAATTGTTTATAGTGAAGGAGAAAATGGGGACAAGCTCAGCCTGAGCTGAGCCACGTCCAAGTGACAGCAAATATTGTTTCAGATATTCTGTTTTCTTTTACCACAGCCAGCATGAAGCAGATGGAGGAAGCTTTGGGGTCTGGAGTCCATGGAAATAGAGGGAGCAGTAAATTTGCCAAGTCCAAGCAGCTACAGTGGCATCTAAGGTGTCCTAGAGCAGCAGCTCTGCAGATTACCTGGCTCCACAGGTATGTGTTGTAGAGTGCTGTCAGCATATCTGGCCTCAGAATTTCATTGCATCCGTGCTGCAGGAGCATCTTGGCAAAGGATTTATAGCTTTTCTGTCCATGCAAATGGCAACCAAGGACAAGAGAGACTCATGAACAACATGAACAACGACACAGCTCTAGATCCCAGGCACTTGGAGAGTGGAGAGATTTAGGCAAGGTGCTGTATGTATTCAGCCACATGTGCATACAATTCACATCTGGATAATTACCACTGCCAGGGGTAAATATGAACAAGTTTTCCTGCTCTCACTTTAAGGAAGTTATGAATTTTTGGGGGGAGATGAGAGTAAATTAGAGATTAAGCCCTGTTGCTTTATCTAGAAATGAGTAGGAAAATTTGAAAAGAGAGGTAATAAAACAATAAATGCTTGAATCTGCATTTTTTTAAGACCTCTCCAGTGGCTTCAGAAGATCCCTGATGTCCATTGATGCACAATAATGGAAGTACATACAGGACAGATGGACAGAGCAGCTCACACAAAAAGTGGCTCCTTTTTGGGTGGCAGGATGGAGATTGAGTGAAGAGTGAAGAAACATGACAAAAGCCACAGGGCTGTGACACTGCTGGGAGTGAGGGTGGCACACAGAGCTGCTCCAGTGCCCCCACAGTACCTGACTGCTCAGGGTGCTGCCCCACTTGGCCAGCAGGTTCCTGGGATCATCCACAATAACGCTGTACCTATCTTTGAGCTTCTCATAGGCTGCTTTATATAATTTCTGCTCAGAATAGCACATACAGTGTAACAAGAGAGGGTTAAGATACAGAGAGATCACTGGTGTAATCTCTTTACAGGCTGGGGTTGAAGGTCATGTTCAAAAGAGAAAAATATATTAAAATAATATAAAAAAAAACCCCAAAAAACACGGAACAAATAAACTTTTTTTAAAAAAACCAAAAGCCTCAAAACAACAACAAAAAACCCAAACAAAAAACTCAAACAAACAAAAAACCAAATAACAAAAGGAAAGCAAAAATCAAACAAACAAAAAAAAAAACTAAAAAACCCCAAACAAACAAAAAAAAAAAACACCAAAAACCCTCATAAAAATCCAAAAACAAAAAATGCCCCAAAAATAAACAAACAAAAAAATCAACACAAACCTCCAACAAACAAAAAAACCCAAACAAACAAAAAACTGAAACAAAAAAAAGCCCAAAAACCAAACCAAAACATAAAACCAAACTAAAAAAAAAAGAAAGAGAGAAGAGGGAGAATATTTCCAAATATTAATTGCATTTCTTTTCTACATTGCCTCTGGAAGGCCTACAGTTTAAGGATGTCTCTATTCCACCCCAATATTTCCAAATGTTAATTGTATTTCTACATTGCCTCTGGAAGGCCTACAGTTTAAGGATGTCTCTATTCCACCCCATCAATTAGTAATTTTATGACTGATTTTCTCCATGAAAAGTAACTGCAGAAGCAACTCTGTGTTGTAGATTTCTGAGCTGAGTCCAAAGAGAACAATGAGATGTTATTAAAAAATCACTTATATAACAGAAGATATTTAGGCAAGCATTTCAATATATGGAGCTCCCATTGGTAAAATTTCACCTGTTTATGTTTCTGATATTAATTTTTCCTTATTTGCCCTATGAACAGTACAAATAGCAAGACTGAACCATCTTCATAAAAATTCTGGTATTTGCTTTTCTCACCTAGAACAGGTAATGCAATAATCAACTTTCTGACAGATAATGGTATGACACAATGGCTGGTGAAAAAGAATGAGATTTTAAGATATAAACCTAAATATCTGCTTCTTTGCTAAAAAGTATCAGATTTTGATGGGCTGTTCCAACTCTAAGCTGATGGGAATCACCCTGAACATGGTGTTTTCCATAGAATTTGTCCTGGGGTGTAGAGCACTAATCCTACAAACTCCAGGAGAAATTTGAATTTTAAACCCAGGGGTGTTCATTAATTATTAGGTTGTGTCAATTGTTTCTTTAGCACTAAGGAAAATAAGAAAAAGTTGAGTGGTAGAGTTGAAAAATTCCAGGCAAAATCACTGAAATGGAAACTTCAGCCATAACTCTGTCTTCCTAACACCAATAAAAACTTTATCAATGTTTTAGGAAAGCAATTGGAATTCTGCCCACACCTTTTTGAGATGGAAACAACACTCAGGGTTACTGCACCAGCAGCATTATTTAAGTCAGCAAAGGAAAAGTTCCTTTGCCTTTTTGCTGAAAAATTAATGAACAGGGGTGGGGATTTTACTTTCTAGGCTCTGCAAACCTGTTCTGTCCTAACACCCAGAAAAAAAACAACCTTGTCTTTCATGACTTTAGTCTGATCTTAAAGCACCTTTAAGCCTGATTTTAAGGAAGGACAACCTTCAACTCTGTATTTACCCACAGACCAGCTCCTTAAGGCTGAGCCTACAGAAATCTTTACTTACCATATCCACCAGCTGAGTTGCATATTTAAAATGTTCATTGCTTGGAGAGTCAGCCACGTACTTGAACTTGGACTTGGTCTTCTCAAAATTCTCCTTGTACTTACACTGCAGCCAAAGAAAAGCAAACACACCAAACCCAGGCCACGTTAGCCCAAAGAAGGGTAAGGCAATGAAAACGTGATTTTAGAGAGAAATTGTGGCAAAAAAAATGGTGAAATTATTGCATTTGTGTTAACTTGCATTAACTTTTAATTTTAAATTGTATTAACTTTTCTACCAGCAACAAATAGTTGTAAATGGACAGCAAATGTCCAAAAACACTCAACAACAATTCAGAGTGTGTCACTCACCCCACTGTAGAGCACTTTATTCTTCTCTGCCAGGACAAAACTTGGAGTATCCCACACATAGCAGCCAGTGCCTTTGAGCCATTCCAGGTCTTCCTTGTATTTAACCTTTAGAAAAGAAGTAAAAAGACTCAGTTTTAAGCAGATAATCAGTGCTGAAATGAACCTCAGCACAGGGTGTTGCAAGGAGAGTTACATCCATTATAAAATAAATTAGTTTCTCCTATTTTTGTGATGGACTCAGTTTATTCACATACATAATCTATCATTAGCTGTTGCAGTTCCTGTGTGAATTAAAAATAAGCTACAGGTAAGGGGTTATTGTGTATGTACAGAAATGTACAATTATAGGTTGCTACAGGGCTAAACAAATCTAAGCAAATACAAATGAAATTAATTAAAACTGTCTGCTAATTTGACAAGGGGCTGCGCTGCAGTTTTAGCCATCAGATTCTGTCAGTTCCCAGGGAAAATTGTTAATCACTGAAAAACTTCAGCTGCTTTCTCTTCGTTGAGAAAGAAGGTTTGGGCTCATTCTGGAGACCACTTTGAACTTTCATTCTGGGCCATGCAGGAGCTGCTGGGACTCACATCACTGATGGCATCCGTGACCAGGCGGTGGTGGAAGTGCTCGGGCCGGTCTGGGATGGATCTCCAGATTCCCAGCTGGCTCATGTAATTCTCCTTATACTTCACCTGCAGAGAAAATAGAAGAATTAAGTAAAACAATCGAAGAGAACACTCCAGACAACACAAAAGTTTCATTTTTTCCCCCCCTGAAACAGCAGAACTAAAAGAGTGGAAATGAGATTAACTTGTAACACCAAAGCAATCAATATTCCAGAGAAAGAAAGAAATCAACACTGATAATGCTGAGTTTTTCCTAATTATTTGACATATTGAAATGGAACAAAAGGCTAAGTGGCCTGTTTTAGGTTATTTAGAGTCAAACAGTAATTAGGAATGAAGGTGTACATACACTGCTGATGTCATCAGTGACCTTCCTGTGGTAGACAATGTCCAGAGCATCCTTCACAGTGTGGTATTTGCCCTTGGTGTTCTCAAAGGTTTCTTTGTAGCGCAGCTGGGAAGGAAAAAAAAAACATAAAAGAAGGGATTAATGTGCCAGGAACTGTTTCAGTTACATTCCTCACTTCTCAGGAATGATACCCAGGGATATGTTGCTGTCTGACATCCCAATGTAAGAGGAATTTTAGGAGGCTGCAATTGCCTACAATCAACTGCAATTTCATTGAGACTTGTGGTGAAAATTACAGGGAATTTCACCCAATTCACTTCCAGACTGAGGAACAAACATGCCTGCATCACAGGAGTGCTCTCTAGAACAGCACAGGTGCCACTTTTGGCATAAAAATCTTCCCTGCCCTCCTCTAGAAGAAAGCAGGAAGATCATCCCAGACTTTCTCAGAGGAGAAGTTCCCATGTGCAGAAGAGCTGGAATGCTCCTTGGCAGTATATAAAAATCACTCTTGGAGCAGTAAGACTAAATAAACCCTACAAAAAAGGCACATATCCTTTCACATCCTTTCACATCCTGCTGGTTCTGAAATCTATGGAAAAGCTCTCACAAATGAGCATTTTTAAATTGCCTTAAATCATAAATAACCATTCCACGCTTGAAAAAATCAATTTCACCTCAACAACCTCCTGTGCAGCAGCTCAGGTAATTTTTCTCTCTAATCTACTTCTGAATTTAAAAAATGAACACATTCCCAGTGACAGGACAGTTTACTTCTAACACAAAACTGAGATGAAAAAGCTGATAAAAGTTATTTTATCCTAGCCCCAGCATCAATCACTCCAGCCTGTTCTATTTGGAGACTTGATGTGTAAGCAAATTATTTTAGATCTGTTTTTACTTTGCTGTACAGCCACTCTTCAGTGCAACGAGAAATGAAAATTAATTTTAAAAATTGGAAGAGAAAAAAAGGCACTGCAGAAGAATCCAATTATAACTTAATAATGTTCCCAATTTCAAATGGAAATGGACATGTAAATAAGGGGACTTCCTTGGTGTGGGACACTGAGATATTCTGTGCTTTGCATGTTTCTTCCCCACTGACTTTTGCTGTTCTTTTCATGGAGAGTGCAAGGAAAAGCAGCAGGGGCTGTTCCTGGAGTACTCACATCACTGGCATTCAGGTAAGCTCTCTTGGCTCTGACCAGCACTGGGGTGTCAGGGACAGGGGTGTATTTGTCCTTCATCTTCTCATACTGGGTTTTGTACTTTTTCTAAGAGAGACAGCAAGAGGGAAGAGCCATCATTGCAATTTTAGAAACATTTGCCAACCTGCATAAAAAGCTCGTCTTACAAAATCCTAAAACGTGTTTTCAGAATGTTTCATTTCACCAGAACTTACAAAGAAAATGTGGAACTTAAGCATAAGAGAGCAAAAAATAAATGAAGGCTAAACAGATTTGAGCCTTGAAATTACCACTAAAATTAGAAATAAAACTTCTGAAAAGTTCAGCAGAGTGGCAGCAAATTAGAAAACAAGATTTTACCTCACTGATCATGTCCTTGACATTCCTGGCATGTGCAAAGGCTGGAGTCTGACCATCAGCATGATGGTGGGGTCTCTCCTTCGTGGCAAGCTCCACGTACAAGTACTGCAGCAGGAAAAAAATAATAAAAAAAACCCACACTTCAACTAAATTCCACCTTATGTCTCTGAAAAACAGTTGTAAATTCACAATATAAACACAACCACCAATTTCTAGGAATTCTACATTGCTTTGAGAAGGCCTGGAAAGCTTTTGCTGTACTTTAACAATATGTTAAGAAGGATGCCCTGATTGATTTTCATATCAGCACAATTTTTTTACCTGGCTCTGTATTTTTTGTCCTGTCTTGGCTCTTATGAAGTCAGGTGTATCAAGGATGGAAGTGTATTTTGTCTTCAGCTCATTGCCTGCAGCTCTGTAAACCAGCTGGAAAAAGACAGGTCCAGGAATTATTTCTTCTGCTATTGTTCAGAAGCTGCACAGTCACAGCTTTGCAATTATAACATCTCATCTATTCCAGTAAAAAACACAGGGAGGGGTTAATTACAGTTACAAAATTGTGCAGAAATAAAAGAATTTACCTCACTCAGATGGGTTTTTAGTTCCTGCACTGCTCTGTATCCAGGAGTATCCAACACCACCTGGACTTTAGGCCACATTTTCTTGGCAGTACTTGTATAGATATAATTAGACTGGAAAGAAAAAGCAGTATTAATAAAGGAAATTTTACAGTGCAACCCAACAGTGCTCTGAAACAGCAAACTGGCTGCACAGCACAAAATTCTCTCATTCTTTGCTCATTTTCATCTGTTTCACTTCCTGCGTGCACAGAAATAAATCCATTGTCGTCCTGCTCAATTCCCAGGGGAAAGGTCTTACCCAGAGCTTGCGGAGGTCACGGGCACGGACCATGTCAGGAGTGTCATAGAGGAAGCAGCCCAAGCCCTTCAGCCACCTCAGGTCCTCTTTGTATTTAATCTACGAGAGAAATTCAAATCAACGGCCAACATTTGGGATAATTTCAACCTCCGGTTCTTAAACACAGTGAGAAAGCATTTTTTTGTTACAGAACAGAAAGGGAGTGAGGGAAAAAGCCAGCCCCACTCCCAGCAGAGAAGTTTGGAGCTCACTGCAGGCGCTGCTTACGTCACTGGTGATGTCCCCAACGTAGCGACAGTGCAGCACGTGAGGGGTGTAGGGCAGGGAGATCAGGTGGCCCTGCATCTTGAAGAAATCTGACTTGTAGATCAGCTGGAAAACAAGGAACAAAACAGCATTTCACCTGTTTGGTCAGGGGATCATCTCAGTTTCTTCAGTTGTTCTGTTAGGAAGGCACCTACATCGCTGACTGCCTCCTGGGTGGCTCTGACTTGGCGGATTTCGGGCGTGTCAGGGGTGGTGTGGATCTTGTCCTTGTTCTTGTGGTAGGTTGCCCTGTACAGCCTCTGTCACAAGAGACAACATTCTGCATTGGAACACAGCTCAAGACCTTGAAATGGCAAAGAAGTTCAGCCCAGCGTAAGCACTTCTTACACAAATTACTGTTTTCTACCTAGGGAAAAGCCCTTCTTACACAAATTACTGTTTTCTATCCAGGCAAAGATTCCCCATTAATTGTTTTCAATAAATCCTGGAAATCTCAGACTGTAATCCTAAAAACCTGTAAATACATATACTTAATTTTCATGCTATTAAAGCCAGTGATTAAAGAAGCGAGTAAATATATATAAAACTTAAAACTATTGTGACCCAATTTTATACAGACACAATCATTTCTATTCAACTTTAATCACAGCTAATAAAATCAGGCTGCAGTTTTATATTATGGTAACAGTTTCAGCCTGGATCAATGTTCCCTCACTATTCTTGATGGATACTTCTCTAAATAATTTAAAAAGCCTCAAAGAAGAGAGATCCTACAACTCAGCAGTCACTATACTCTCATTATGAATATTTTGGGCACTGCAAATACAACTGAAAGCAAATACATATATTTACTGTACCTCGTTAATGACTTGATTGACTTTCCTCACATTTTCAAAGCCAACATCTTGAGGTCCCAGAGTGTAGCCCTTGGCTTTCATGTGTTCATAGGCTTCTTTATATTTCAGCTATAAGAAGTACAAAAACACACAGAAACTAAATTTGATCATGATTCTGGCTACACTGCAGCTCTGACAGCAATTTATGATGCATTAAGAGACAGATTTTTAGAGATAAACAAGAGAGATGTAGCTGTATCAGAGTTAAGTGCACCACACATCATAACTATTTTTGCCTTTATCCTACGGCCCAAAATTAATAATATAATACATTTTTCTTGCATCTAATAAGGTATTTGCATAATGCTGAGAAAATGTCTATTTTGATAGTAAAGGCCCAAGCTGAGAGTCCCTTATCTGGGGCTGCTGATCATGGCCATGGTGTAGAAGGATGATTTGGAAGGATTTAGGCCCTGACTTACATTACTGCCGATGCGCTGGGCGTGTTTGGCGTGCTGGAAGTTGGGAGTGTCCGTGGGAAGGCTGTAGCCAGTGGGCAGAGCATTCACACCAGCCCAGCGATACAAATTCTGCAAGAGCAGAGAGAAAGACTTTGTACAGCTGTCAGCAATACTTGAGGGGAAAATCCCTCTATCCCAGAAACCTCTCCATCACAACTGGCAAAAGATTTCCCCCATTCCTGGGGATAAAGAAGCATTAAAATGCATTTTTATAGCTTGAATGAAGATATTTTCCCACTCTCATTTCAGAGCAGTGGCATGCAGCTTCACCTGAAAAGCTAAAAGCAGACAATTTGGTTTTTCAGTATCACAAACTCTGTGGAGCCTGAAGTTTTGTACTTACCTCACTCTGTATTTTGTTTGCATTGTACGCCCGCTCCAGATCCACTGTTTTATCAGTGGGGATCATCTTGCCTTGGACATTCTTCTTGTAATCACCCCGATAGACAGCCTGGGAAAGAGAAAAAGTTAAAATTGTCACATCTTCTCACAGTGTGTTTTGTTTGTATACAATGAGAATTGTTCCTTTAAAAAATGGATTGAAGTTTTTTGGCTTCAGGCAGTTAATGATTTTAGTGATTGTGTCTACAATGAGGAGTAGATAACCAACAATGATTAAAATTAAATTATTAAAAACATATTAAAAGTCCCATTTCTAAAGCTGCTGAGGTAACAGCATTTGGAATATTGGCTGGAAGGTGAGAGAAACACTTACTTCACTTAAATTCAAGGCACTGATCACATTCTGGACATAGACAGGAGTGTCTGTGACCACTGTGAAGTCCTTCTTCATTTTTTCTGCCTTAGATTTGTACTTAATCTGCAGAGAAAAAGCAAGAGTTCTAATTGCTAGGGCTAGTAATTGTTAATTTAATTTATTTATTATCATATTTACCATATTTACTATTCATTTCATCCCTGAGCTATTTTGTTAGTGAACCAGCATTGAAACAGACAGTATATCGGAAATGTGGCTTGTTATTTAATGAATCCTTCAATCAAGAAGGAGAAATAACATTTATTCCACTACACCTGGAGTGGAGTAAAGCCACAGTGGAGTGAAAGAGAAGAGTAAGAAGCAAACCCAGGGTTATCCACTCACATCACTGCGAAGGTCATAGGCTTGCTTGGCATGGAGGATTTCAGGAGTGTCCCAGACAAAGCAGCCAATGCCTTTCAGCCAGTTCAGATCATCCTTGTAGATCACCTAAGGAAGCAGAGAAGGAACCTGTAAGAATTCCATCAGGACCTAATCCCTTATGTATAAATCACTCCAAAACACAGGAAGGTTTCTACTACTTTGATTTGTTTGTTTGTTTGTTTGAGAAAATCAAAACAATTCTTTCTGGAATTTAAATAATTTTTGTTCTATTTGCTTCAATTTGGACAATAAATTAAAAATCCAATGATTTTTTAAAAAAACCAAACTACTGCACATCCTACTGGGCTCTGATTTACTGCCAGATCCTACTCCTGGGCTCACCTGCTCAAGGCAAGTGTGTAGAAGCTTTGACCAACCAGAATTTTCTCAGACTTCCAAAGTTTCCACACCTCATGCAACCAAATAAAGGACAATTTACAGACAGGGTAGAACTGTAATGTTATGACCCAAATGCCTGCACTATTAACACTGAAATTATTGAAATTATTGCAGAGAGGTTGTGGATTCCCCATCCCTGGAAGCGTCCAAGGCCAGGTTGGACAGGGCTTGGAGCAACTTGAAAAAGTGGAAGGTGTCTCATGGCAGGGAGTGGAACTGGATTTGCTTTAAGGTCCTTTCCAACCCAAACCATTCTGGGATTTTCTGATTCTGTTCAAACAAGCCCCATCTCAATGACCCATTTATTGCCAAGCGTCACAAAAATGAATTCAAGTGGCAACTTCAGAGTGCTCCGGCAACATTTTTGCTAAATCATTTCCTCCAACAGAGGGCAAATGAAGGAAAGTTCTCAAAAGTGAGCCAGGAACAAATGATTTGGGGACTTACATCACTGACTTGGTCGGTGACTCTTCTCACGTGGGTGTTGACCTGCAGGTCTGGCAGACACAGCCAGTCGTGGAGCCGCGTGCGGTAATCGACCTCGCTGATCTTCTTCTGGGCATCCTTGGCTGAGATGATGTCCACCATGTCCGGGACAATGTGCACCTTGGCTTTGGTCTTCTCATAGGCCTCTTTGTACAGACGCTGTGGAGTCAAAGCAGTGTTTAATAAAGCTGAAGAATAAACTGTCGATGAACTTGCAGGAAATCATTGCTATTTTCATGGGATGTCAGTGGGAGAGAGATCACTTTGGCTCTGACTAAAATTTACATCTGGCCTGCTGTAGAAATAATTTTCAGAACCTCAGCAAGGAAGGTAAAATGTGATTTGTTCAATTTTCATTGTGCTGATGAGTTAAAAGAAGGCAGATGATGATTTTACCCATATTACACTAAAGGTTTGGCCATGCAGGCACTGCAGTAATTGAGTTAAAATTTTAATTTATGGTTGTATTCTAGAGTTTAGCAAATACTGCTCACCGCCAAGTGCACGTGGGAGTGGGATGTGTGGATCAAGGCAGGGGGATTCCTTGAGTGGCTGCTTCTGAGATGAGCATGGCTTTACCAGGAAAACACACATCCAGAACCAACACTTACATCAATGTTGAGCTTCCCAACTCTGAGGCACCTTTCCGTGTTGGGATCATCCTCAACACCTCTGGGGAGGGTGTACAGGGCTTTGAACTTGTCATATTCCTCACGGTATTTGACCTGAGCAGAAGTAAAGAAATGCAACAATTAACTGACTCCCACGAGTCACTTGTGGGTTTGGAACAAAATTCATCAGCATTAAGCAAAAAGTTGAGTCCAACAAGTAGAGAAAGGTTTTAAAGCAGGATTTTAGTTTTCTGTTTTGTCTTAAATGGAGAAGAAAGCACATCATAACAATCACACTGCAAAACAACAGCTGAGTAGAGGATTAAAAAATAAATAGATGTAGAATAAGGCACTTATTTATTTTTCCAGCTGTTTCATTTAAAGAGATCTGTGGATCTCTTAATTCTAACTTCAATGAAGCTAGATGTTTCCTAAAGATGTTTCCTGTACTTTGTAAGCATCATTTAAAGATTTTTGGGGTTTTTTCTGACCTGAATGGTCATGAAACTTAGACTAGAAAAACTCTAACATTTTCAGTTTGGATTACTATAAAAACTGACTTTTTTTTTTTCCATGACAAGAAGCCACAAAGGACTGTTACCCAAATGACTATCAGAGAAAAATCATTATCTACAGATACATATCATATCTCAAATAAAAAGGGAAGGAAAATAAAGTTTAAAAAATATTTATATCTATAGCAGATGCAAGGCATGAAGGATTTAACTGTTAGAATTTTTAAAATCACTGCAGTGATTTGAAAAAAATAATTTAATTCACTTACAATGCTTGCATTGTGCTTCAGTTCTTTGGCACGTGCCAAGGCCACAGTATCTGAGGGCAGTGCATAGCTGGTGGCCTTCACTTTATCCCAGGCCTTCTTGTAGAGATTCTGTGGGGAAATAGAAAGTTTGTGTGAGTGGAAAAATAGTTTTTGTAAATAATTACCAACAACCAATAGAAAGCAAAAGCCCTTCTGCATTTATTTAGACACCACCAACAGTAAAGTATTGTAAAGAAGATATTAAGTGGCACTTAGTATCAAGTGCATGTAAAGGGTGACAAAAATCCTTTCTAACTATTCATGTCTGCTGTCATACAAGGTTTTAATTTTGTTCAGGAAATCTATTTATTAATCCAGATATTTTGCCAAGACTGGCATTACAATTGGAATGGCCCTTGCCTGAAATGCAATATCTGCCCCAAGCTCAAGCAGTGCAGAGGGCCAGCACTGGCTTTGAGAAGCTCCTGGTTTGGATGTTTGTCTTCAAAGAGTGAACAAACAAAATAAAACAAAGATCCCACATTAAAGGTCCTTAAGAGAAAGAAAATTGTGTATAAACACTTACATCACTATAGAGGTGTTTCAAACTCTGAACTCTTTCTGAATCCACTGTGTCAGTCACAGTTGTGTACTTGTCCTTAGTTTTGTGGAATTCCTCCTTGTATTTCACCTGGAGGATGAAAGCTGGGTTTAGTGAATTGTTTCAATGCTCAGCAGGACAACCCTGAGCAGGAAAGGTGGGGACTCACGTCACTGGCATTGGCAGCACTTTGCAGAGCAGTCACATAGACAGGGGTGTCTGTAACCACACTGAAGTTCTGGAAGTTCTCCTTCCCTGCAGAGGTGTATTTTATCTAAGGACACAAAACCAACAAAACACTCCTTAGTGCTGGAAATGACCTGGAAATCTCCTGCCAGCTTCCTTTAAAATCCCATCTGGACAGCTGAAATCACAGATTACAGCTTACTTAAGATCAACTCTGAAAGTGACAGGTCATAAAATAGAAATACTTAATATACAGCCAGTAAGGAGTAAGGAATAATGAAATTAAAAACCACAGCTGGCTTTACACTCTCCTAAGTTTTCTCCTCCTCCAATAACACAAGTGATGTCTATACAGAAGCAATTCCAAGACTGTATTTTCACAGTTTAAACAAAATATTTCTGATGTTACAGGAATTACTTCTTTCAGCTCTGGACGAGGACATGTCAACTCCAGTGAATCATAAATGGAAGAAAAATCCACAAAAATATTTATCTATTTAAGGAAGACTTACCTGGCTCTGCAGGTCATAGGATTTCTTAGCCTGTAGGATTTGTGGAGTATCCCAGACGTAACATCCAAGTCCCTTCAGCCAGTTTAAGTCATCTTTATACACAGACTGCATGGAAGTGAACAGAACATTAGGTCAGGAAAAAATTTGCCTTCTACCAATTGAACAAAGGAATTCTGCATCCTACTAAGCCAGGCACTTCACACACCCTCAGATTTTATTGGGAAGGTTGGTTGGCCCAAGCTGGGACACCACTGACTGCAGAATATGATCACAATTCTCTCACCTTGAGGCTGATAAAACCCCAACAAACAAGGGGAATTCTTTTGCAGACCCACTGGATCCAGAAGGATTCTGGATGCTGTCCTGGTCCCTGTGCTAATTCCAGCATTCCCAATTACAATAGATAAGGATCACTGCAGTGATTGGTACTAAGAGTCCAAGCCACAGTTATTAATTTCGTATTCAAATATTATGGAAGATACTTGGGGAAAATATGATGGGAAAGGCTGCTATAATGTCAAACAAATGGGGTCAGTAAGCTCACATAAGTTTAGAAGGGTTTGGACAATGCCCTCAGGCTCCTGGTGGGATTTTTGGGGCGTGCTGGATGACTTTAATGGGTCCCTTCCAAGCCAGCCTAATCTATGGCTCTGAATAAATGATAAACATACATCACTCAGGATCTCCTGGGCTTTCCTGGCGTGAATGACATCGTTCTCCTCAGGGGAGCAGCTCCACTGATGGAAGTAGGTGCGGTACTCCAGGTCACTGAGGATGTACTGGCACTTCTTGGCCAGGACGTGGTTCATCATGTCAGTTGGGATATGCACATTCTTCTTGGTGTCTTCATAGTTCTTTCTGTAGGCCAGCTGAAAAGCAAAGATTGGGGAAAAGGTGAGAGGAAATCAGAGTGATTTTCTGTATAACTTTGGATTTTGGACTGAAAGGTGACAGCATAATCTGAGATGTGGTCTCTGGATTTAGTAGCTAAAATGCCATGGGATTCAACAGGACAGAAATCTTAACTTGGATATTAATCACCTTTTATTTTGCCAAAGTTCTGCAAGGACAACAATTACCTTCACTTGCAGTTTTAACAGCTGATGAGAAAACTAGCAAGTCTTCAGGATTAAAAAACTCATGCTCCACAAATGGTTTTCATCTAATTAAAGATGTAATATTTGGGATTACACTGATTTTGTGCCCTGCATGACATGCTGTATGTGCAGTGCTGACAACAGCAACACATCAAATGTGCATTTACTTTTCCAGCTCTTAAATTCCTATTTCAACTCAACATCTACACTTTTATTTGTAAAGGAAATGAATCCCACATGGTATTTTTTACTGCTCAGATCCTTAGATTAAAAGAGAAAAAGGGGGTTTTTGCCTTACTGTAGTATTACAAATAGCTGAACAAACCCCTTCTCAATCTCCTAAGTAATTTTAAATTAAATTATTCAACCCACATATAAAAATAAGCATTCAGGAAATATAAACCTGTTGAAAAAATTTTTACTGATATGATTGTGGATTTATGTTAAGATTGGGCTTGATCTTGGAAGTCTTTTCCAACCTGAATGATCCTGTGATTCTACAGGTCGATTAAACTTTGCACTATTTATGTTTAAGCAATGAAATAGTGAATTTAATCAGTGAAATAAATGGTGAAATAAAGGAAATGGAAAATACTCCAGACTCATTCATTGCTTACCACGCTCCTCATTTTCTGGAATTCCAGGGAGTGAATGACACTGGGGAAATCACTAATATCCTTCCCAGCCAGGTAATGGCCTTTCAGCTTCTCATATATTTCCTTATATTTAAGCTGAAAAAATATTCATGTGGAAATTTTAATGTTCATTCTTGACAACATATTGGGGGGAAAAGGGAAAGAATGGGAAATCCCTCCTGACCTCACTGTTGATGTGGTTTGCATGTTTGGCTCCCACAAGTGGAACGTATTTCTCATCCAGAGAGTATCCAATGGGCTTGCTCAGCTCCCAAGCCTTCTTGTAATGTTTCTAGACAAGAAAAAGCATACACACATTTAATGGAAAAATCAGTTATATTTCCCATTTATACACGCATGGGATATAACATGGAATGCAGGATACTTTTACAGAGTGGTTCCCAATAAATTAAATGGACAATGTTCATTTTGAACAGTCACTCAGTAGAAGGCAAACAGGACAAGTGTTCACTTTAGGTAGCTACCTGAGCACAACTTTGAGCTGATTTCTGCTTTAGTTATTACATTTATACCAGAAGGGCAATAAAAATATCCAAAGTATACATATGAGCTCTGGTATAAAAGTGCAGTATAGAATTGAGATTGATAATTTTATAGATTATCAAAATTGTGAAAAATCTTCAAGAACTATTGGTGTTTATTAAAGAAACATTAGTCTCAACAGCACTATCCTAATACTTATTTTGTTAAATATTAAATATATTCACCTTCAGATTAAATTATGAAATGCCTACTCATATGAATGAGTAATTACTTATATTTTTAAAAAATTGAGTTTTCTCATTAAAATCAGTGAGACTACTCAAAAGTAACTGCTTGATTATGTAAATCATATACAGTTTTCATTTCTTACACAAAAAGTAAATGTAAAATTTATCAGTAATCTCCAAAGATATTATTGGATGGAATTATATTTGGTTTTGTCACACCATGACAAAACCACATGACTTCCAAGCACCACACAGCTGTCCTTTGAGATCACTTCAATAAGGAAAGAAATCATCCTGATTCCAGTGAACCAAACAGGAAAGCTGAAGAAAAAAGTGTTTAAATAACCTCCCTAGTGCCACTACTGAGAGTAGAACAGTTCCTCAAGTCCACCCCACACACTTCAAAGGTTGATATTTATGGGATCTCACCTCACTGTGGAGCAAGGCCATGTCTTTGGCGTGGTGCAGAGCAGGAGTATCATCAGACCCAATGTACTGGCCTTTCTCCTGGTTAAATGTTTCTTTGTATTTTAGCTACAAAAAGAAATCAAACGCAGCGTTAATTCCACAGGAGAAATACATTATTCCCATTAGTCCATCTATTAGTAGTAGACATTAATTTTCTTGTGTCATAATGTAATAAGGTTGTGTAGGACATTCTACCCATTGTAATACACAGGCAAACGTTACTGTGTCACCTCAAAATACACAAGGTATTCTTGAAAAATTTAAGCTACTGCTCAGCAAATACAGTTTAGCAACACCAGGAACTCCATGAACTGCTCATCAAGGACAGGACTCAGTCTTCTCTGCCAGCTCTAAGTCAGGGACATGCCATATTCTTCTACACGAAAATGTTAAATTATTTGGACAGCAATATTGTGTTGTTCATTCATATCACTTCTTACTAAACTTTTTCACCCCAGGAAAGCCTGTTATTAATGAGGTGCACACAAAAATATATAAGGCTAAAACTAGTATAGTCAGCAAAAGCAATTAAATAATCTCCTAATCCTTCTACATGAAATTTATTTTAAAAAAAGGTACATACATCACTCTGATTGACAGAGTTCATCTTTGCCAAAGTGATCTCAGGAGTGTCAACCACACTGGTGTATTTGGAAAAGTTCTCCAGGGCTTCTTTTGTGTATGCTCTCTGCAAAGAGGTGAAATAATGTCACAAACACTGTGCAAGAGAAAGAAGTGCCAATTGTGGAACTGCTGAAATATTTTCTCTTACCTTGTTTATCAGTTCTTGTGCATTCTTGACCTTCTTATGCTCCACTGAATCGAGAGGGATCCAACCACAGCCACGGAGCCACTCCAAATCAGCTTTGTAGATGTTCTAAACCAGAAAGACAATGCAAAAGGACAGAAATTACTGAACTCTGGATGGATTATGTGCTGTGGGCAATATCCTTAGGCCAAACATCATGTGGAAACACCTCGCAGAGCTGCACCATCACTCACATCACTCTGCAGGTCGTAGGCCTGCCGGGCGTGGATCACGTCGTTCTGGTCAGGGTGGCAGGTCCACTGGTGCAGGTACTGGCGATACTCAACATCACTGACCAAGTTCTGGCACTCCTTTGCTGCCACAACTGCCATGGCATCCGAAGGCATGTGGATTTTGGACTTGGTTTTGTTGTAGTCTGACTTGTAGAGCCTGTCGTTCTGGATCTCGCCCGCGTGCTCGTACCACACCAGCTTGGGGTCATCCCTCATCTTGGCCACTCCCACGTAGTGACCTCTCTGCTTGACATACTCAGCTTTGTATTTCAGCTGGTGGGAGAGGGCAGAAACACAGAGAAAATCAGCACTGGCTGTACCCACTCTGGTTTTAACCTGGGAACAGCTTCAGCTTTGTCAACACAAAGGGCAGATGAGACAGGGAGTCGTCAAATGCAGCTTTAGGTTTTCAGCACATGACGAGATAAAAATCTGGTCACAAACAATAATATTACTTTGTATAAGCCTTCCTGTTCAAAATACAGCATTTTCTGGTCTAATATACTCCCCATTTTCAGTAAAAGATATTGTTAACACAAGAGGAAAGACTTGCTAGAAAATGTTCTCTAACAAGCACATTTAGTCTTATTTTGGCAACAAATTATGTGAGATTGTCTGAAGAGTGGATGCTTACTTATGGTATTTACATCACACTGTTTTGACAAAATGTATATTCCAAATAAGAGTCATCCAATAATTTCAAGACCCGTTATGTAAACGTTAAGAATTAGAAGTGTGTACTGGCCTAGAGGTTTTGATATGCCAAAAAGTGAAATCAGAGCCATACATGTTATAATCATAGTATCACTTCAAATTTTACACTTTTTTTAAAATTTAACACTTATAAAGTATGGAAGTCCAGCTCAGATGATTTTGAAAGGACTGTTTCTGGAGAGAGGGAATGTGGAAGGAGTCTGACCTTCAGCACTAATATCTCCAAACCCCATAATCACAAAGATAACTGAATTATTTGGAGGACATAGTGGAATTCACAGGCCATGAAAAGTCTGGATGTTATCCCAGATGGAAAGCTTCTTAAGTCTGTTTGGGAATTTTCAAGGCCTTTAACATTTCAGGCTTCCAAGCACTCATCTTCCTAATGAGAAGAATCATTACCTCACTTTGGACATCACTGGAGTGCTTGGCATGAGAGATCTGCACCGTGTCAGGAGGCAGGAGGTAACCAGTGGCTTTTTCTTTCTCCCAGCTCTCCTTGTATAAATTCTGTGGGAAATAAAAGTGATGAGGAATTCAACACTACCACAGCGATAACGATTACCATATGTACGTAATTTATTTAGAAGTATAAGGATAACAAATCCTTCCTTCAGGTTGTTATCAATAAGGCAGGTTTTCTAAATATGTGATTTTCTAAATACTCAAAAATGTGAGTAGAAGCTGTCAAGGAGAGACCACACACCTGATTTAGAATTCTGGCAGCCTCTCGGGCCATGTCCAGCTGTGGTGTATCTGTGAGAGTATAATTTGTCTTGGCCTCATTCCATTCTTTGCGGTATTTAATCTAGGACACAGAAAGAAATTACTGCCTTGTAGCATCCCCACAGAACTGGGAAAACACCATAATTTACACATAAAATAACAAACCAACCCCTGAACTGGCAAGGCTGGTAGACAAAGCACATTGAATGCAGAATCACAGAAGTCAAACGTAGCCCAGACACTGAGAGCAAACTTACATCATTGAGGATTTCAGTGCTATTCTTTGCTGTGACATAATCAACTCTGTCAGCCACGGGAGTGAACGGGAGAGTTTCAGCTTTCGTGCGGTACTTCCTCTGTACAAGAAAGAGAAGAACAGATTACCCTGGAATATCTGATGCCTACTACAGCAATTCTGAATAGATACACAAGACAAGGAAGTACTCATGGAGAAAAACCTCTCCATACACAATAAATGTTGTGAAAATACTGCAGCTGCATTTTTCATTTGAAAAAAAAACCCATCATTGTTTAAACTATTTAAAATATTTTGAGTGACAAATACCCCTGAAGAAAATTTTAGTATTGAAAAACATTTGGTTACCTCACTCAGGAGATCTCCAGCATATTTGACATGCTTGACTCCCAGGGAATCATTTGGCAACCATCCAATTCCCCGCAGCCATTCCAAATCAGCTTTATAAACAGCCTGGGAAAACAAAAGAGGGTCCATACTCTTAGCTACACTGGTCCATGCTCTCAGCTACACTTCCCTGGACAATCCAGCAAGATTCATAAATAACAGAATATAATCCAGTGGTTAAAAGGGGAGCAGTAATTCCAACATGAGCACTACATCTGAATTTATCATCTTTCAACCATTTATAAGTGGACTACACTTTGCAACTCTTAACAAACAGCAAGGTGAGCTCCCTGAATTCAGGAACAGATTCCCACCCCTTAGAGCTGAAGCAGAATAAGAAGAGGCAATAGAGGACTAAGTTAAGGGGTGTTTCCAGGTGAACTTACGTCGCTCTGGAGGTCGTAGGCTTGCCTGGCATGAATGACATCGTTCTGGTCGGGGAGGCAGATCCACTGGTGCAGGTAGTGCCGGTAGTCGGCATCGCTCACCAGGGCCTGCCCGTGCTTGGCTGACACGATGGACATCATGTCCACTGGCAGGTGGCACTGGGTCTTCTGCTTGGCAAAGAACTTCTTGTACTCTCGTTCACTCTGAACTTTGGCCACGTCCAGGGCAAACTGGATTTTGGAATCTCCCTTTGCGTTCGGCACTCCCACGTAATGTCCTTTCTGCTTCTCGTGCTCCAGCTTGTATTTGTACTGGGGGAAGAGCAGAGGTCACCATCAGTAACAGCTAGAAAGAGCTCTTGGAGCATGGGATTTGCCTCTTTTGGCACTTACATCACTGGCAATCTCTCTAGAAGCCTTGGCTGTCTTGATTGGGATTGCATCTGCTCTCAAATCGTAGTTCATCTTCAGCTCGTCCCAAGCTCCTTTATATTGTTTCTGAAGAGACAGATAAAACACCACACACATGCTGAATGCTCTGGCATTTGCCATTACAGAAACAGAGTTTCCAGCCATTTATTTCCTGAAATACCACAAAATTTTTTGAGCAGTACTCCTGCTCCTAACCATAAATGCAGCTGCCTCTGAAACATGTAACAGCAGTTGTGCAACCTATAAAGCACAAAAGTGTGTTTGTAAAAGTGTAGAAAATATTTACATGCCTTGGATTCTCATCCTTTTTAATAAAATATTCCCTGAGTGGGGCACAATATTAATATTTTTTAAATAGCTGAACACAAATATTTATTTTAAAATAAAATTACTTTTATTTTAATAAAATAAAATAAAATAAGGATAATAAAGCCAAATACTTTAAGGCTATTCAGTAGAGAGAAGGGAATGCCACAAACCCTGTATGAGGATAGACTTCGATGAGATTCACAGAGATTCATCATCTTAGAATGATATAATCCACAAACTATTTTACAGAAAATGGAATGATAAACGTACCTGGCTGTAATTAACAGCATTAGCCTTGGCTAGGTTGATTTCAGGGGTGTCTGGCATGATGTGGATCATAGTCTTGTCCTTTTCCCAGGCTTCTTTATATTTTTGCTGTTAAAACAGACATTTAATAATATCATCAGACTTATAGAAATTCACATATCAATAACAAAAAAATCCCATAAATGTCTCCTGAACTATCATCTCTAAAGAGTAAAATGTTTGGAAAAGCATTACACATAAAACACCACAGATCAGTTTTACATTTTAGCAGTGAGATTTCTCTTTAGCTTTAGCTTCTAGTGCAGCTTTGAGGAGTTTGGAACATACAGTGCTGATCTGTTCAGCGTTGGTTTTGGCCAGAACAACATCTGGGGAATCCACAACACTGGTGTACTTCACACTGTCAATGGGGGTCCGATACACGTTGTCACTCAGGAGATCCTGGGCATTCTTCACCCTCTTAATTTCTGGAGAGTCATTGGGCAACCACCCAATTCCACGGAGCCACTCCAGGTCTGACCTGTACACAGCCTGAATGAGATGGTCAGAAAAGGAAAACATTGTTTAAAATGATTGTCTTAATTATTTTAAGCTATGCAAAGTAGATTATATATAAACCTAGAGTCACATGAATCCTTTTTGTAGACAGGAGATGTTCATTGTTGCAAGTAAAATTAAACCTGGCCACAAGTGTTTAAGTAGTTCAGCTCTTAAACAACACATTCTAAACTATGTAAGGAGAAACAACTGAAAGGTGTTGCAGTTAAAGATGATTAATATTAAAAGCTTACAAAAGTCTTCCTGTCCCTTCCAAAACACTTATTCCTCTAATCATTTCAACAATTTACAAGTCCTAAGAAAACCCCAAGCTGCCTACCAGGAAAACTGACAAACAGCAAGAAACAGGAACCTCATCTCCAAAGCTTGTAATTGAAACAGTGAAAGAGGAACTGATAAGCAGCAAAGCCAGGTCAGGAAAACAGCTGCACTGACTCCTGCTTTGCATTCAGCCTCTAAAACCTCTCACTGGCTACCTCACAGAGTTTTCTTCCAATTAAATAAATTTCCAAGCTTACTCAAGCAAAGAGAAGTAACAAAAGCCACCTGATTCCAAGGCAAGCAAACAAGCAAACAACTGTTATTCCTAAATCCCATCAAAGCAAGAGAGACAAATCCTTCAGCCTCTCCATATCACACCTATCCAAAAGCATTATGCAACACATCATCAACTAAAGTTCTACAAAATTAAGAGATAAAACCAATACTTTTTAAGAGTCTAAAAGAGCACATAAAAGCAGTAACAAAAATTTAAGAAATCAGTGTAAATATAAATCTGCTGTGCCTGTATAGCATTGAACAATCAGAATAAGGTTATAATCTATTAAATAATAAAACTACACATCTCTGTGGATACTCACATCGCTCTGGAGGTCGTAGGCCTGCCGGGCGTGGATCACGTCGTTCTGGTCAGGAAGGCAGGTCCACTGGTGCAGGTACTGCCTGTAGTCAATGTCACTGAATCCACATATATATTCATATATTTTATACTTTTTTAACACAAAGCATTTAAATAGATTTCTTGGTAGAAAATCAAGGAGCATAAAAATCTGTTATCCTCTGTCTCTTAGTGATATTGCCTCATCCTTGAAATAAAAATTGTCCCAGTCATTGCAGAGCTTTTTTCCTGGTTCTGTGTTTTGGGTTTCAATGTGATACTGCAACAGAATTACTTCTTTCCTCCATAAAAGACAAGCATTTACACTTTTAGAATTTATTTACTTATATTTATTCTGGAGACAGATTTTGAAGTACTTCCTATTTTTAATCAGAAATTATCTTGACAAACTCTAGCACAGACTCCTACATCTTTTTGTTCATCCTACTTTAACATCCATGGATAGCAATGGTGGGCATATAAATAATCTTCATGTTATTATATTTATTCATAATTGTGATACATAACTCATAGAAAAAATACTGGCTATCCATTTTTTTGTGCACTTAAGGCATGTGGTAGGATCACTTAGAAAACATATTTCTATATTATCTATATATTTTGTGAAATGTGATATTAGTAAAAAAGTGAACAAAGATTCTGATTATTTTCCATTACCAAATCCACAGAGAAGTGAGAACAAAGCCTGCTCACCTCACTGGCAATCTCCCTGGAGGCTTTGGCAGACTGGATGGGAATGGCATCAAAACGCAAATCATAGCCCTTCTTCTTTGACTCCTCCAAGGCCAGTTTGTACATTTTCTGTGAGAAAAAAATTCACGATTCAGTTTCAAAAACAAAATTGAAAATTGCATCTCAGTTCAGTACAACTGTGCAGTAAAACAAATAAAGCCCCTAAACTACATTGTACATCTTCAGACAATTTAAATACTTTTCTGTAGAAAAGAAAAAAAAAAAGATTTCAAAGACCTCGTAATTTTATTGTAGATGTTTGGAAAATGGAAATCATTTAGGGAAGGCAAATACTGGAACATTTAAAGAGCTAAATTACCTATTTCCACAACGTGCTGTAGAAATGATTTCCCATTTATGGGGGATGATATATTTTAAAAGTATATTTTTGTGAAGAACAAGCCTGATTTCAGCACTGAAACTGGCCATGTAGGAAAATAAACAACCTGACAATATTTCACCATTAATAAAAAATCAAAGGTGACAACAGTGTACTTATGGGAAACCCTTTAACTGTCTCAGCTCTCCAGTTGCACTCACCTCACTGTAGTTCACTCGGTTCTGTTTGGCCAGCAGGATTTCTGGGGTGTCAGGCATGACATGAATCGTGGTCTTGTCTTTGTTCCACGCTTCAGTGTACAAACGCTAAAAAAGAAAAGAGGAAGAGATTGATAGGGCACTCAAAACCAGGTTAATATCCCAATAAACAGGGAAAACACATTAATTAAAATGATAGGAACCTGGTCTAGGGGAAATATTCTCTTCCCATGGCGGGAGGTTGGAACAAAATGATCTTTAATGTCCCTTCTAACCCAAACCAATTTATGCCAATATAAAATGGATATACAGTTATGTGTTTATCTGGTAAAAGTAACACCAACAAAAGGAGAATTTATCTGAGAGCGTTTAAAAACATAAAAAAAACCGCCACATTGTTTCAGAATAATGAATAAACCAAAGCATTATTAATGCCCAATGCACACACACGCCAAAGAAAATATTTAAATACAAAATGGAGAATATTACACAAATTTGAGTCTTCCTTACCTGATCTTAGAGTTTTGAGTGAAATAACAAGAGCACACTGATTGAAAATGCATCATGCCTGAACTGCAGCATTGCTGGTGCTTAGTTCATTCCCAGTCCTGTCTCCAGGGATGAGGCAGAGACCTCTGATGTGTCACCCAGAGGGATCAGGACTCACCTTGTTCATGGTGTCTGCGTTCTGCTTGGCCAACACCATCTCCAGGGAATCCGTGACACTGGTGAACTTGATGGTGTCCGGACACTGGCGGTAAATTTTATCACTCAGGATCTCTCCTGCTCTCTTGGCTTTCTCAACTTCCAAGGAACCAATAGGAACCCATCCAATGCCTCTCAACCATTCCAGGTCTGATTTGTAAACAGCCTGAAAAAATTTGAAAGTTTGTTACACATGGGCAAGTGTGATCAAATATTAGAATTAATATAAACAAGCACATAATTTATGAAGAACTGAGTATGTTTCTGAGGATATGGTTCTGAAACTAATTGCTTTTTAAGATGAAGTAAAATAATTATTAAAAAGGAAAAATAAAAGAGGTATCAAAGCACAATGATAGTATCAGAGTAACACACAAATTATACCTCAAGTTAAAGACTAAAAAGATATTTGAAAGACCAAACACATATTTGATGAAAGAATTGAAGGAATGAAAGAATGAAAACATTTCAACAAGTCTGATGCAAGTGACTAGAGGCTTGTCATCCATATTTTAAAAATTAGATTGTGCAAGACAATTCTGTATTACAAAATGACTGCATTACAGAATTACTGTACTACAGAAATACTGTGTTACAAATTTAAAGATTTGCTCACATCACTCTGGAGGTCATAGGCCTGCTTGGCGTGGATCACGTCGTTCTGGTCGGGCAGACAGATCCACTGGTGCAGGTAGTGACGGTAGTCAACGTCACTGACCAGCCCTTGGCACTTCTTGGCCAACACAATTCCCAGCATGTCCACGGGGCTGCTGAACCTTGTCTTGGACTTCTCAAAGTCCTTCTTGTACTCCCTGTCACTCTGGATCTTGGCCACGTGCATTGACCACATCATCTTGGGGTCGTCCTCGATGTTCCTGGCCCCAATGTGGTGGCCCAGCTGCTTCCGATAGCCTTCCTTGTACTTGTACTGAAACAGAAGAGATTTAAAGTTACTTGGTGTATTGAGAAATTAATAAGCAATTCTAACAGTTTAACATACTCATTATTTTATAAAGATAAAAATATTATATATGTCATTCTACTCTGGGATTAATTTTCATGTAAGAAGCTTTTTTATTAGATATAATTACCTAAGACTTTTTATATAACATGCTTTCAATTCACTAAACATTTAATGTCACATTCTAACAAGTTTGGTACTTCACATCCTTCTACTATTAAGATCCAATTGTAAATATTAACTTACTTTGCAAACTTTCAACCAAACTCCTTGAATAAGACCATATGATTTGTTCTTAACACAAAGAGTTGAAATATCAAACTTGAGAGTAAACAAAGAATATAAAAATCTGTTATCCTCCATCTCTAAACGATGCTTCCTTACCAGAAGCACAAGCTATCATAGTCATTGCATAGTTCATTCCTGTTTTCATGTTCACACATCTTGAATTTCATTATGACACTTGAACAGAAATATTGTTTGAATCAGAAATTAACCTGACAAACTCTACCATTGGTTCATACACATTTTTGATCACGCTGCTTGAATATCCATGGACAACAATAGAAGTATTGCAAGGGGCATATCAATAATCTTCACATTATTATATTTATTTATTACAGGGATATATTGCTCAAGATAAAAATACTGGCTCCCCCTGTCTTCCATGCACTAAAGGCAATGTAGTGGAGCATTAAAAAGAATCACTACCAAAATATATTTCAAGATTATCTATTCTATGAAGTATGACAGTAGCAAACATTCTGATTCTTTTCCATTACCAGATCCATAGAGAAATGAGAACAAAGCCTGCTCACCTCACTGGCAATCTCCCTGGAGGCTTTGGCAGACTGGATGGGAATGGCATCAAAACGCAAATCATAGCCCTTCTTCTTTGACTCCTCCAAGGCCAGTTTGTACATTTTCTGTGAGAAAAAAATTCACAATTCAGTTTCAAAAACAAAATAGCATTTCAGTTAAGCACATCTGGGTAATAAAACTATTCAAGTCCCTAAACAATATTGTTGATTTTCAGGCAACTTAAACATCTTCAGCCCAGCTCTACATTTACTAGAAAATAAAAAACTGCAGACTTCAATCAAAGACCTTGTAATTTTATTGTGCATACTTGGAAAATAGAAATCATTTAGGGAAAGCTAAGCAAAACTAGTTATTTCCACGCCTTGCTGTAGAAATTATTTCTAATTTATGGGGGATAATATATTTCAATAGCCCAATTAGATATACAGGAGTCAATTTCTGGAACAACTCTGATTTCAGCATGGGAACAGACCACTTGTGAAAATAACAACCTGACAAAGTTTTAATATTAACTAAAAGCAGGGATGACAAAGCATACTTGTCAGAAGTACAAGTTAATTGTCTCAGATTTCAGTTGCACTCACCTCACTGTAGTTCACTCGGTTCTGTTTGGCCAGCAGGATTTCTGGGGTGTCAGGCATGACATGAATCGTGGTCTTGTCTTTGTTCCACGCTTCAGTGTACAAACGCTAAAAAAAGAAGTCAGGAAGAGATTGATAGGGCATTCAAAACCAGGCTAATGTCCCAATAAACAGGGAAAACATAGACCATACCAGATAAAAATACAGGAAATGTAACAGGGATAATCAGTTAGGTAATTAGGAAGAGATAGTATTAATGAAAGGAGGATTGACTTGTGGAAATGTAACAATATTTAGAAAACATCACACTGATTAAGGAGAAGGAATAAAAAAGATCAGCACTGCTTGTGCTTAGTTCATTCCCAGTCCTGTCTCCAGGGATGAGGCAGAGACCTCTGATGTGTCACCCAGAGGGATCAGGACTCACCTTGTTCATGGTGTCTGCGTTCTGCTTGGCCAACACCATCTCCAGGGAATCCGTGACACTGGTGAACTTGATGGTGTCTGGACGCTGGCGGTAAATTTTATCACTCAGGATCTCTCCTGCTCTCTTGGCTTTCTCAACTTCCAAGGAACCAATAGGGACCCAGCCAATGCCCCGCAGCCATTCCAGGTCAGATTTGTAGCAGTTCTGTTACAAAAAATAGAAAAAAAATCACCCACATGGGTTATTCTATCAATAATAATAATAATCATCATCATCATGCAACTTACATGGTGAATAGTTCACTAATAAGTAATCTCACTATCAAATTAACAATTAATTTAAATAAATTCAAAGCACAAGATAAAATTTACAAAAAATAAGTGCATTCCCACTACATTAAGGCTGAAACCATTATCCAACTTTCACAGAATAGTAAATGATAGATAGAAATTCTGGAGCTAGAGGATTTCATTGAAGCATCAATTAGTTAACACATCCTGTTGGAGAGCTCAGTTTCGATCAGCCACAAAATTTAAAAATAAACCTCAAAATGTTGGTGCTACCACATCAGAACAAGATGGCCTGATCCAACTATGTAAAATAAACTCATTCCTCAGCAAAAATCAAATGCCAGAGGACTCACATCACTCTGGAGGTCATAGGCCTGCTTGGCGTGGATCACGTCGTTCTGGTCGGGCAGACAGATCCACTGGTGCAGGTAGTGCCGGTAGTCAACGTCACTGACCAGCCCTTGGCACTTCTTGGCCAACACAATTCCCAGCATGTCCACGGGGCTGCTGAACCTTGTCTTGGACTTCTCAAAGTCCTTCTTGTACTCCCTGTCACTCTGGATCTTGGCCACGTGCATTGACCACATCATCTTGGGGTCGTCCTCGATGTTCCTGGCCCCAATGTGGTGGCCCAGCTGCTTCCGATAGCCTTCCTTGTACTTGTACTGAAACACAAACCAAGATATTATATTTCTCTGTCACTCATAAATGTCAGTTACTCATATTAAATATTTCTTACAATAATCTTTCCAAACTTTTCTATAACCTACCATTAAAAAAAAAACCCCAAACTGTCAAATAAATTCTCATGCTAATAATATTTTAGGACTAAAGTTTTTTGCTGTTTGAGCTAGAACCCTAAACAGAATTTTTTTATCATTTTCCTTTCAGAAGAAATGTGCTTTACTAATATTAGTGAGAAATAATCCTGGTCTTATCAAATGCATTTAATCCTTATTTCGTATAATGATACACATACTGTATTCCACACATATAGGGTTATGAGCTATACAGCTATCATGAAAGCAGCATTATATTGTTCTTATAATTATCAACATTTATTTTTTTAAACATACATGATAATTTACTTGCAAAAATCTACTACTTAAGGTCACAGTTTAACTGCAGTGCCTTTACAGGGTCCAGATGATAATTTTCAGGTTGCAGAGGAGAGATGTCAACATAGAAAGAAACAAAAAGTTAGATTCTTACATCACTGGCAATTTGCCTGGATGCTTTGGCTGCTTGGATGGGGATGGCATCAGCTCTCAAATCATAGCCTTTCTTCTTTGAATCTTCCATGGCCTGTCTGTATTGTTTCTAGATGAAGAATTAAACAATGGGATTCATGTAAGTTCCATATGGTATAGTCTATGCAAAACAAATTGCTTGGAAGTAGATCTAATAATTGTGTTTAGATTTATTACACCCAGTTTTATCTACCTTTAACTCAAAACCTCAGATCAGTAGCTGATACAAATTCATATCAAAGGAAGACCTTTGCTAAATACATTTGTTAATTAATTTTTATTTTACTGCTTTAAGTAATGTAACATTGACTTCAATTTAGACTTAACTTTTCTTCTATACAAACGGAGTAAAACTTTTTAAAACCACTGATGTGGCTTACTGATGTGAACTTGTTTGCCTAAAATAATGTTGAACACTGGCATCACACCTTTTCAGAATTATGCTAGTAACTACCTTTCTGGTATTAATTTTTGCCTTCCCAACATTATGCACACTGCCAGAAATTACTCCCCAAAAATTCAGTGGAAACACACAACTTGTGTGGAATTTATGGAATTTCTTCTCACCAGTGCTTGCTGTTCTATGTAGGCACTACTACAAATATACAAACAATGCTTTTAAAGTCAAAATTTTTTGGATAAATATGGGAGTTACTTTAGGAAACTGATAATGCCATCTCTAGAAGGTTTCCCAGAAAATTCCTGATCCAGCCATGACACAGAGAAGTTACATTTGGAGAGCTCCCACACTCACCAGACTGTAGTTTTTCTTGTTCTCTCTTGCCAGTGTGATTTCAGGTGTGTCAGGCATGATGTGGATTTGTGTCTTGTCTTTATCCCAGGCCTCAGTGTACAAACGCTGCAGGAGAAACACAGCAGAGTATTTGGAGACATTCACAATTGATAATTGTGACAAATTACCTTAGTAATTCTCTACGAAGATATTATTAAATCAGCTCTTGATGAAAACAAGTTTCCCATTGATTATCAAAAATGGAACTTACATTTTTACAGCCTTACAGTGGTGAAATCTCACAGCACAGGCACAGGTCTGTGGTCCCAATCCTGTCTCAGGGGTTTTGGCAGAGACTGTTGATGAGTTACCTGATCAAATCCAGACTCACCTTGTTCATGGTGTCTGCGTTCTGCTTGGCCAACACCATTGGGAGAGAATCTGGGATGCTGGTGAACTTGATGGTGTCCGGATGCTGGCGGTAAATTTTATCACTCAGGATCTCCCCTGCCTTCTTGGCCTTCTCAACTTCCAAGGAACCAATTGGGACCCAGCCAATGCCCCGCAGCCACTCAAGGTCAGACTTGTAGCAGTTCTGTTACAAAACATAAAGGCAGCAGTTAAAAACTTCTCCTTTATATGTTAATCAGCATTTAAATATATTCAAATCCACTATTATGAAGGATAATAGGGAGCTAATTCTGCTATTTGGCTGTACATAAACCTTCATAAAGCTCTTACATTCAGATTCCTTCGCTCCTCAAATTAAAATGGCCTTTCTTGGAACAGGGATAAAAAAACAGAACGTGAAAAAATACTATATGAGAGCAACTACACCAGATTATATTCCAAGGAAATTACAAATATTTCAGTAGTCCAGAGGTTATCAGCATATACTTACATCACTCTGGAGGTCATAGGCTTGCTTAGCATGGATCACGTCATTCTGGTCTGGTAGACAAGTCCACTCATGGAGGTAGTGACGGTAGTCAACGTCACTGACCAGCTCCTGGCATTTCTTGGCCAACACCACTCCCAGCATGTCCACAGGGCTGCTGAAGTTGGTCTTGGACTTCTCAAAGGCTTTCTTGTACTCCCTGTCACTCTGGATCTTGGCCACGTGCATTGACCACATCATCTTGGGGTCGTCCTCAATGTTCCTGGCCCCAATGTGGTGGCCCAGCTGCTTCCGATACCCTTCCTTGTACTTGTACTATGGACAAAAAAACGTTCAGTGAGTGTTAGTTTAGGGCTTTTATATGACTGTGGCAGCCCCTGTGACACCACCTCCAGAAAACATAAGTTGAAACCAGAGACTTTAAAGTGAGAAGAGACTCAGCCCCAGTGTGTGCCACGAGGGCTGCTGTGCACTCACATCACTGGCGATGTCCCGGGAAGCTTTGGCAGACTTGATGGGAATGGCATCTGCCCGCATGTCGTAGCCCTTCTTCTTCTCCTCCTCCATCGCCTGCTTGTACAGTTTCTGGAACAGACACCACCAGGCCCTCAGACAACGCTGCTGCCCGGACAGCGCCCAGGGACACACACTGCACCCTCAGCAACCACCCACCTCGCTGAAGTTCACTTTGTTCTGCTGGGCCAGCAGGATCCCAGGGGTGTCTGGCATGATGTGAATGCTGGTTTTGTCCTTCTCCCAGGCTGAGATGTACGAGCGCTGGGAAAGGAGGACAAGAGGAAACAAGAACACACGGGTTTAGGGAAACAAATTCAATGAGCAAATCAGCTCTGTAAACCAAACAAGAGGCCTCTACTTTGAACTGATTCAGGAACCCATTTCCATTCCTCAATGTTTCCAATGCTTCACTGTTTTCTTTTCCACATTGTACCTCTTTACTGCTCCAACCACACAGAAGAAGAGTTTTACCTCAAACAAGGGACACAAAATCCCCCAGTCTAGTGGGATTTTTCCCCTTGTACAACCTGGGCCTTGGAAGGACATAGAAAAACACCCTGAGAAAGCAAGGTGCTCATTTCCCTCAGCAATGATGCAAACAGAAGGAAACCTCACTTGGTCCATGATTTGGGAGTTGTGCTTTGCCAGCACCATGGGCATCGAGTCAGGAAGGCTGGTGAATTTGATGGTGTCTGGGTGCTGACGATACTTCTTGTCACTCAAGATCTCGCTTGCTCTCTTGTTCTTCTCAGCATCCAATGATCCAAGTGGGGACCAGCCAATGCCCCTCAGCCACTGCAGGTCAGACTTGTACACGTTCTGGAAGGACAGAAAAG